TAGTATTCGGACTCGGACTCGGGCTCGAACTCGGACTCGGACTTGGACTCGGTCCTGGTTTCGGACTCGGTCTCGGTCTCGGTCTCGGTCTCGGCCTCGGTCTCGGTCTCGGTCTCGGTTCCATCTCGGACTCCATCTTGGACTCCATCTCGGGTCCATCTCGGACTCCATCTCGGACCCCATCTCGGGTCCATCTCGGACTCCATATCGGACTCCGTCTCGGTCCATCTCGGACTCCATCTTGGACCCCATCTCGGGTCTATCTCGGACTCCATATCGGACTCCGTCTCGGTCCATCTCGGACTCCTTCTCGGACTCCATCTCGGGTCCATCTCGGACTCCATCTCGGACTCCTTCTTGGGTCCATCTCAGACTCCATATCGGACTCCGTCTCGGTCCATCTCGGACTCCACTTCGGACTCCAACTCGGGTCCACCTCGGACTCCACTTCGGACTCCAACTCGGGTCCATCTCGGACTCCACTTCGGACTCCAACTCGGGTCCATCTCGGACTCCACTTCGGACTCCAACTCGAGTCCATCTCGGACACTTCCACGTGTCATGTGTTGGTCCTTTTGGGTCCCTTTTTGGAGCCTCGCTTTTTTCTCGCTTCGTGCACGTTCCTCGAGCACTTCGTTGGGAGTTCCACTCCCGCTCTTGACTTTTCAAGTTGGAGCTTTTGGTCCAAACGTGTTACGCTCGTTTGGCTCTCGCTTCGGCCACTACCACATGGCGCCCTTCCGTCTCCACTTTGGGGCCTAGGGATTTTGTGTCTCACACTTGCTTCTGGGTACTGGCAAGTACCAATGGCCGCAAAAGATATTCCTAAGACTGCTTTTCGTACACCGTTTGGTTTGTACAAGTTCTTGGTGATGCCGTTTGGTTTGAACAACGCTCCAGCAACTTTCCAACGGATGATGGACGAGGTTCTTTGTGATATGCCAGAGGTGACTGCCGACTTCATTGATGATGTCTTGATTCACTCGGAGGGGACGTGGGAGGAGCACGTTCGTGATGTTTGTAAAGTGTTGGATCGGCTACGCGATATTGGTTTAAAGTTGAAGAGGTCAAAGTGCGCGTTTGGGTCCAAGGATACAACTTATCTTGGGTACCGTATTTCTCGTGAGGGTTTGCAAGTTGATCCTGACAAACTTGTGGCTGTTCTAAAGTTCCCTACTCCGAAATGTGTGAATGATGTGCAGCGCTTCTTGGGCAAGGTGTAGTATCTCGGTCGTTTTGTGGATCATCTTTCTGATCGCACTGCACAATTGTGAGCATTGTTGAAGTCATCAACATCATCTTTCATCTGGTCTTCGGATTGTGAGCAGGCGTTCGGGGATCTCAAAATGCTATTGACGACTCCTCCGGTTTTGGCATATCCTGACTACACTCGACCTTTTATTTTGCGCATGGATGCTTCTGACATTGGTCTTGGAGGTGTGTGTATGCAAGAGAGCTCGAGTGTGCCTGGTCAACACCATCCTATTGCGTATATAAGCCGTACATTACAACCAGCAGAGATGAACTACTCCACGACGGAGAAGGAGTGTTTAGCAGCAGTTTGGGGTTTCGAGAAACTTCATGCATATCTACATGGTTCTCAGATGTTACTTGAAGGTGACCATACTACTGTTACTTCATTATTGAAGCGGAAGAACCTGGTTAGTCGTACTGCTCGGTGGGCTTTTGTAGCGCACGTGGTTTTTACCCTTTATCCTATGGTGATTTACCATAGGATAACACCACGAAGCGGAACCTAACCCTCTTTGTGCCACGTGACAGATGCCACATGTCACATGCCACGTGTCCATGCCACGTGTCCATAGGAACCCGAGGTTCAGGGCCTTGGGCCACTGAACAAAGGAACGGTGCCAAACTCCCAAGCGTGGAGCCAAGGAGTGACGGAACCGACCCACGGAGCAACTCCTAAGCATACAGCCCAAGGAGCGAAGGGACAGGAACCCGGAGCGACTTAGAACAGTCCTAGAGTAACCAGCATCCCAATGCCAGGACCAGCACGCAAAACGGAGCCAAACGGAGTCTGGCGCTATTTCGGCATACCGGTGGCCTAACGCGAGGACATGGGTACTCCACCAGCTAGCATGGAATGGAACTTGGGCTTAGACCCAAGCCGGACGCAGAACAAGGACAGGCACGCAAGCGGGAGCTAGACTATGCCTCAGGTTGGTCGGCCATGCCCGACCTACCCACTATCCCTACTATACATTTGGAACCCCCCACAGCCCCCCCCCCCCCCCCCTTGAGGAACACATGCTTTGGGCTTTCACCCCAAGCCTCCCTTAGTATCAGGAGTTAGTCTCTGGGACAAGCTCGAAACTTACTAAATATGGAATGGCGCTAGAATGTGAATTTGGACACGGGACGAACACCATTGTGTTCAGGCCGATCTCTACATTCCATAGATATGCAAAATGAGCAAATCTGGACACTTTCCATAAATAGCATTTGGGACCGAAATGAGACTAACACAAAGGGCATGATAGCGAGGGTGTTTGGCAGACACGGTAAGCTATCATCTAGCGATATTGAGGGACCAATCTCAACATCGCGGGGGTTCCCAACACTAGCAAGTGCAAGTCAACGAATGAGTTTCTCTAACCAGGTCAAGTATGCTTGACAAATAGCACGTAGGAATTCCGTCCTTATGCTCATCTGGTCAAGTGCACACGCGAGGACCAGTTTCTCAACTAGCTTAGGCGGAGACTGATAACGGGTCCAGCAATACCAACCTCCTGCCATCGTGGCAGTAAGGTAAGAGTGTCCGTAAGGACTAGCCGACAGGTAACTTTCGATACCCGAAGTCACATGCGCGACAGCTTTGAAGCTTCAGATATATGATTTTGATGTTGTTCATCGCCCAGGGAGTTCTATGGCTGATGCTGATGCCCTTTCTCGAGCTCCTCTTCCTTCTTCACTCACTTCTCATGTTTCTGACGAGCCTGTTGTTCTAGCATCTGTAGATTTTCTAGACGAGGATTCTGTGCCGTCGGCGGTTGCTGTCCTTGACGTTCAGTGTCCACAAGGCGCAAAGCAGGATCTACCTTCTCTTGATGATGTTCGCGAGGCTCAAAAGATTGAGCCATGGATTCAAAGGCTTCGAAATGGGTTTGAGAATCCTACATCACTTGCTGATGACTTGCCTTTCCGGCATTTACATTCTCAATATCGCCTTGAAGATGGCCTTCTTTATTTTGTGGGGACGGATCCTGAGGATCATTTACGGCTGGTGGTGCCTTTTGTCTTTATTCCGCGGTTTCTCCATGCCTACCATGATTCTCCTGTTCTAGGTGGGCATATGGGACACCGTCATGTAACCAAGAAGTTGCGCAGGTCTTTTTACTGGCCGAAGATGCGACATGATGTTATCTGGTATGTGCGTAGCTGCGTTTGGTGCCAAGCTCATAATAATCTCCCTCGTGCTACGGAAGGACGGTTGGAGTCAATTGCGGTTTCCCGTCCGTTTGAGTTGGTGGCGTTTAATCTTATGGGACCTTTTCCACGGTCGACTACTGGCAATGAGTATGTTATTATTGCTTCTGACTACTTGACTCGTTGGGTGGAAGTTGGTGCTCTTGCTAGCGCCTCTGCAACTGCTGTTGGCTACTTCCTCCTAAATCGAGTGGTGTTCCAGCATTCTTGTCCAGAGCGGATTCTTTCGGATAATGGTCCTGCATTTATGGCTGAGGCATTTCATGTTTTGACGTCTCGGTTGGGGATACGCCACACTTTCACGAGTGCTTATCATCCACAATCAGACGGTCTGGTGGAGCGGCTCGTTCGGACATTCAAAGGGATGATTGCGAAGTATGTGAACTTTCAGCATTCGGATTGGGATGGTTATTTGCCGTCTCTTCGGTATGCATATGTCACGGGGGTGCAAAGTTCTATTGGTGCTTCACCATATAAACTTTTATATGGTCATGATCTAATATTACCAACAGAGCTAGGTTTACCTTCGCGATTGCCGCGAGCTGCCGATTCTAGGTCGTGGGATCAGTATTTGACGAGCATTCTTCCACTAGTCCGAGCAGAGTCTGCCGAACATTTATGCCACGTACAAGTAGGACAACAACGACGCTACAACTGTCATCATCGTCCACCTGCGGAGTACAAAGTGGATGATTTGGTGTTAGTCCGTTTTCCTCATCTTACGGTACATGGTTTATCTAAGGGACTTCTTGCGCAGTGAAAAGGACCGTATCGGGTGTTGCGGCAAGTTGGACCACAAGTTTATGAGGTTTAGCATGACGTTCAGCAGACCAATCCTCCAGAGATTGTGCATGTGCAGCGGCTAAAATGCTTCATACAAAGGGATCAAGAGCAGCTAATGCCACCTACAGATCCACCGATGCCTCCTCCTAATGTTCCTCCAGATCCCGGCCCATCTACAAGAGAACCCTGATGGTCTTCCATTATTCCGAGAGGAGAGGATGATGTGAGGGCCAAGTGTACGGCTACGATGCCGTATACTAATATTAGCGTAGTGGGATTTTGGTAGCCGTCGGATTGGTTTCAATCCGGACCACTTGCTCCTGTATATAAGCCAGGGTTTTTGGGCTAATTGATATGCACATTTCTGTATTCCCTTTCCATATTCCATGCACTCACACAATCATATTTAAATTGCTATTATAGCAATTTATAATAGAAATAAATAAATAAATCCATAGATCTGCATGGTTGCCACCATACTTTTAAATGCCCATGTATGCTTTGTGTATGGCAGGTTTCATATAGCACTTCCGCCAACAAGACTGCAGCGCAGAATGTTGCACAGAATGTTACGTAATGACTTCAGAACCTCATCAACAACTGGTCTTTCGGATGGCTCTTCCGAAGAACATCAACATATCAGAGCCTCCAGCTCTACTGTTGGCATCCTGATGGCAGGCTGCGACAAGACCAACTGGGAGATCCAAGGCTGTAAAGGTCCACCAATCTTGAGTACATGCTCTCACCATTTCTTCTACTTTCTTCACTCAGCAGCTCGGGGGCCTGAAAAACCTCGTCCCTACTGGAGCTGTATGTGATTGTTCAATATTGAAGTTGATGTATGCAGTACCGAAATCAGTGAGTTTCAGGACAAGCTGCTCTTCGTCCTCATCAGTGAAATCGATTAGAACGTTTTCTGGCTTGAGGTCTCTATGCACAATGTTTTTCCCATGCAGGAAGTCGAGGCCCTTGGTAATCTGGAGCAGGATCTCGACCAGTTGCAAGAGCGTGAGCTCTTTGTTCTTGCTGGCATACTCTTTTAGATTCATCCTCATTACCTCCATGACCAAGTGGGTACAGCTTTCGTCAACCTTGTAGTAGCCGATGGTTTGAACAATGTGAGGAGCAGCTTGTATACTTGATACTGCGGGCAGTTCTTGTGATGGAAGATCTTGAGACTCCTTGAACTCCTTGACTGCAACTAGCCTTTGATGCCACGTTCCTTTACGAACAACACCATAGCTTCCTCTATGGAGCAATTCCCCGAAATGAACACTCACGTCCTCCGAGTTCAACTCGGGCAGCTCTGAAGAATTTACTCTCTCTAGTATGTATTTAGCATAGTGACTTCTAAATTTCCCATCTCATGCCTGTTTTTCCAGTGCAGCTTTGTCGAGCTGGGCTGCTGCTTGCATATCTGGCAAGAAAGCCTGAATAAAACTTTTGCTGCACATGAAATGAAGTTCCTCCACAATCTCCTTGACTTCCAATTCCCTGTTGTATTTCACAACCGCAAGCCACTCCCAATGCTCCTCAAGCACGGAACACTCTCGAATCACCCCGTTTGCTTTCCTGATGAATTGTCTTAGCCTCCTTAAGAAGAGCTCACTACTGCCTGCATACCCTCTCACCATTTCAACGCTGTCCTTGCAAACCAAACACAACAGCAAGCACTGTTCCTTATGAACTTCGACAGCACTTGCAGTCTGATTTATGTTCATCATGATGTTATCGAGTTCAGCTTCATGCTTGACGCTGTCAATTTGTGGTGCAGGGATTCGGACCTGAGGTGAAGGATGTTCATGATGGTCAACAGGGCCGCTCCACCATAGCTTGAGTGTCAACGAACCTCTCTCCATGATCGCGATGCAGCCCAAGCTGATCTTCAGCGGGTACTCTCGCTGCTCGGGCCGAGCTGAACAATGTGGAACGTCACTACCCTCTATCTTGATTTTCCCCAGAGAACCCCCATTCGTGTAATTCAGAACAGAGACACCAACATGGCGTCGCTGCAATGCATCCCCCTCAAAGTCGAAATCCAGGATCTCGTTTACTACTCAAATTCTGTAGGTTTATTGAGAAATTAGGTTTGGGCACAACTGGGTGGATTTACCACCACCTGGAGACTGCTGAAGTCCCACTTTGCAATATTAGCGACAAGCCTGCCAATGATTTTTGTTCTGCTGCTCTCTCGCCTCTCTATTGTCGGCACAGCCTCTCATTCATACACCTTGGCATCTCTTCCTTTTCAAAAGAATTAGTTAAGAATATATATATAAACAAGTTAGAAATGTTAGCAATTACCTTTTTTCAGTTAATTTAAAAGGAAAAAAATAAAGTGTTTTATATATATAAATGGTCTTAAACTACTAATGAGGCAAATGAAAATGGATTTATCTTTAATATAAAAACTTGATATGTGAATAACATTTTTGGTGTGTGATATAAAAGCTATATATTTGGACCAAGTATAAAATCAAAGTTGATTTGAGGCCATATTTAAGGTAGTTATACATCCTTCCAAAGTTTTAACATTAATAATTGAAATAACAATAGTTAAATCTATTTTTATAGGTTTAATAAGATTATAGAAGTCACCCTAAATTGATATGAATATTTGTGAAAGTTATGAGTGAGACATTTTTAAGTGGTTGAAAGTGTGGTTAAGTGATTAAAGTAGAATGAAAATTTTTGTCACTATCTTATTTTTGAACTCTTTCCATAGTCTGAATAATTTCCCTAAGAACGTATTTGGTTTTGGCATTTTTAAAGCACATTCAGTGAACAGCTAGGGTAATAAAATATTCCTAAGAATTTATAGATACTTAAAATATTTGTATGTAATTTTAAAATTTGAAAAGAAATTAAAATATTATCTTTTAATTTTGTCTTTAATGTAAATGGTTTCTTTTCATGACTCAATGAATTTATGTAGATTTTGATTTTGATTTGAAATCAGTTTCAAAATTTTATATTTTTTTCAAATATAATTTTCAATTAAATCCATTAATCACAAGAATAATCCTCTCTTGTCATCTCAGATTCACCTACCTCACATTCGTCCATCATCTTACACCATACAATGGAAAATTATAGTCTAAAATACATGACAGTAGTTTTGCTAGTAGTTCTACAAAGAGGAAATGAATGAAAATAAGTAAGAGATATTTAAGAGCAATTAATGCAAAGGATATATGTTATATATAATCATCACACCATTTACAACAACATACACTATATTCAATATGTTATCTTGCACTAGCAAAATTTTTTTTCAACATTCTAAAAATTCAACACTACTTTTATAAATCTCTATAATAGTGAGATCTTTCTCTTCACCTTCCTCCTCTAACTTTGTGATTTGCAATGGAGGAAAGTTATGTGGAAACACATACATGCAAGTTTGTTGTGTGGGAAGAAAAGAAGATGACATAGTCTCTAATTTTGATGTTGTATGCAAACAAGTATTATTAAGTTATATATGGAATTATTTGCTCCTAGTTTACACATTTGTGACGTTTTATTTTCTTTACAGGAGAGAGTGTATATATATATATATACACTCTCTCCTGTAAAGAAAATAAAACGCCACAAAAGTGTAAATGTGGGAGGTATATACATAACAATATAAACATAGTATCCCCTCATATATAAAGTATATCATCTCACTATCCTTACTTAATATAGTGACTGCTAAATTTCTAATGCTTAACCTTCAAAATTCAAACCATACCAGCTTAAAATGTATTAGCATTAACGAAATGATTTGAGATTTTGAGCTCAGAAAATTAGTAATTGAGATTTTTGGAGTAGTTTGAATGACACACACTTGGTTACATGACTGTAATGTAGTGATTTGCAAACTTATGGCCATAGAAAGAATCTAAAATAGAAACCACACACATTAGTACCTGCATTGGAGAGGAATTGGTATAAATTAGTTATTTACTTATATACAAATATTGTGTTGTAATAATCCACACTCCCCAAAACAAACTCACTATAATGATCATAAAAATCAAGTCAAAAAGCAAAAGCCCTAGAAAGAAAACTTTCAAGCACAATAAACCATTGAAATCTGAAAAATTTATAAGAGTGTGAGAAATTGATAAAGCTAATACTTTATTGCAACTAGCATATGATCCAATTGTTTGTTGCAAAACCAACATACTCAACACTTGAAGCATGGTGAAGCCAGCAAAAAAAGCCTTTGTGCCATTACCTCATGAGAAATGATGGGCAAATTACACAGTTGATTTTGTGTAAAGGAAAGGAGAGAGAAGTCACAATCAGAAAATCACAAATTAAATGAGAAAAAGGCAAAAATGAGGAAAAAAAACCTTACTAAATTTGCAATGATATCACAGAATTGATATGGATGGTTATAGTGGATATAACCAGATCTAGGTGGCTCCTGAGGATCAAGCAAAGACAACATTTGTTACAGAGTGGGGCTGTTATATATTTTATGTCATGCCATTTGGGTTGACGAATGCACGAGTTACTTTCCAAAGTGTGGTAACTTCGGCATTCAGATTTCTTCTTCATGAGAGTCAGATGACTTCTCGACTTTTGGAAGCTGTGGGTGCATTGCAGTCTAATGTGTCATGCCACATATCCAATAACAAAAATATTATAAATACAATCATATTTAAATTGCTATTATAGCAATTGAAAAAAAAAATATCCATAGATCTGCATGGTTGCTACCATACTTAAAAATGCACATATATGCTTTGTGCATGGCAGGTTTCATATAGCACTTCCGCCGACAAGACTGCAGCACAGAATGTTGCGCAAAATGTTACGTAATGACTTCAGAACCTCATCAACAACCGGTCTTTCGGATGGCTCTTCAGAAGAACATCGACATATCAGAGCCTCCAGCTCTGCTGTTGGCGTCCCAATGGCAGGCTGCGACAAGACCAACTGGGAGAATGTCATTCCAAGGCTGTAAAGGTCCACCGATCTTGAGTACACGGTCTCACCATTTCTTTTAATTTCTTCACTCTGTAGCTCAGGGGCCATGAAAATACGCGTCCCTATTGGAGCTGTATGTGAAAGTTCAGTATTGAAGTTGATGTATGCAGTACCGAAATCGGCGAGTTTCAGGACAAGCTGCTCTTCGTCCTCATCAGTGAAATCGATTAGAACGTTTTCTGGCTTGAGGTCTCTGTGCACAATGTTTTTCCCATGCAGGAAGTTGAGGCCCTTGGTAATCTGGAGCAGCATCTCGACCAGTTGCAAGTGCGTGAGCCCTTTGTTCTTGCTGGCATACTCTTTTAGATCCATCCTCATTACCTCCATGACCAAGTGGGTACAGCTTTCGTCAACCTTGTAGTAGCCGATGGTTTGAACAATGTGAGGAGCAGCCTGTATACGTGATACTGCGCGCAGTTCTCGTGATGAAAGATTAGACTCCCTGAACTCCTTGACTGCAACTAGCCTTTGATGCCACGTTCCTTTACGAACAACACCATAGCTTCCTCTACCGAGCATTTCCCCGAAATGAACATTCACATTCTCCGAGTTCAACTCGGGCAGCTCTGAAGAATTTACTCTCTCTAGTATGTATTTAGCATAGTGACTTTTAAATTTCCCATCTAGTGCCTGTTTTTCCAGTGCAGCTTTGTCGAGCTGGGCTACTGCATGGATTTCTGGCAGGTGAGCCTGAATAGGACTTTCGTCAATGAGCCCACACATGAAATGAAGTTCCTCCACGATCTCCTCGATTTCCAATTCCCTGTCGTATTTCACAACCGCAAGCCACTCCCAATGCTCCTCAAGCTTGGAACACTCTCGAATCACCCCGTTTGCTTTCCTGATGAATTGTCTTAGCCTCCTTAAGAAGAGCTCACTACTGCCTGCATACCCTCTCACCATTTCAACGCTGTCCTTGCAAACCAAACACAACAGCAAGCACTGTTCCTTATGGACTTCGACAGCACTTGCAGTCTGATTTATGTTCATCATGATGTTATCGAGTTCAGCTTCATGCTTGACGCTGTCAATTTGTGGTGCAGGGATTCGGACCCGACGTGAAGGATGTTCATGATGGTCAACAGGGCCGCTCCACCATAGCTTGAGTGTCAACGAACCTCTCTCCTTGATCGCGACGCAGCTCAAGCCGGTCTTCAGCCGGTACTTTCGCTGCTCGGAATCGGAAGGCTCAGATGAACAATGCGGAACCTCACTACCCTCTATCTTGATTTTCCCCAGAGGACGCCGATTCGTGTAATTCAGAACAGAGACACGAACATGGCTTCGCTGCAATGCATCCCCCTCAACGTTGAGATCCAGGGTCTCGTTCCATTCCGGATTCAGAGTCCTGTGTCGTACTTGGGTCTTGACCTGCTGCCCGTCGAAACTCACCATACAGTAAGGACTTGCTGATCCGCATCCATCTCTCGGCATCAAGCCACGAGCGCTGCAAACCTTGATATGCACCTTCCTTGCCATTGGGTGAAGCTCAAGAAGATGAACGCCGCTACGTATACCTGCACACCCCCTCCCCCCTTCACCCAACCCAGCCCCAAAGCCAAACTCTATGGAGGACAAAGTCAGCTTTCATGTCGAAGCTTGATGATCAAAAGAAGAGAGAGAAACAAAAAAGCCGAGAGAGAAGAAGACTAGTTCTATGGATTTGAGATATGATTTGTTATAGTTATAATAATACCTGATATTATATAACAGTACGCAATAAAAATTCAAAATATTCTTTAAGCGATAATAAATATTACAACAAACTATTCTTTATTGACTCCCTGTTGACTTGGCTCATTTTTTGCCAACTTGGGTGGAGCTCAAGAAGATGAACAGCGCTACATATATCTGCACACCCCCTCCCCCCTTCACCCAAGTCAAAGCCTGGGTTTCAGGGAGCTATGGAGGACATACTGAGGTCGATCGATGCGATTTCTGAGCTTGCGCCAAATGCCAAAGCGTATCCTCGTCTATGCAGGCTACTGTTTCTGGTATGCAATCAACATGCCCTGTACTGCCGCTTGTGGGGGCAGATCATCAATGCCGGGCCACCTTTCTCAATCCCACCCCTATCTGCGGCCTTGGAGCGCCTTGCCCATGTATTGGATAGAGTGAAGGAATTTCTCGGGCAATGCAGTCATAAAGAGCACTGGGAGTGGATCGCTGCATCCAGGTATGACAGGAGATGGGAAGTTGTGGAACTTCTGTCAGAGCTTCAGGAATGTGTGGACATAATCAACTCGGACGCAATTCGTAGGTCAAGGGTTCTAAAAGAGGGTATGTGGGCGGGCCATGTTCTTGAGCGGCTGTCCGATATTGAGCAGGAGCAGGATCCGTATTATGACCTCCACAATTTGGCAAACGAAGATTGTACCGAATTGGTGAAGAATGCCGAGGAGCTTGTCGAGTACTTATCCCAAAGACAAAGTGGCTACTGTCCCAGAATAAACATGGAAGATTGGCCTACTGCTCCTACTGAGAAGTGGTCTGAGGAGTGGTTTGGTTGGCTTGGTCAGGCTGCTAACTTGTGGAGCTCGATTATGATGAGGATCTCGAGGTGACGAATGGTCCTTTCCTAGGTCCAAGTTCCTCTATTGTGAAGATTTTTGGATGGTGCCACTGCCACGATACCAGGAAGCATTACATACTTACCAAGAATCGTGAGTGTCGCATATTTATGGAGAGTGGCGACCGTCAAACTCACCATGTCTCAACTTCTGGAAGTCACTTACCAAGTTGTAGAAGCTGTTCTACACTTGCATAGACATGGTTTTTGGGAAGTTAAGGTTGACTTGAGGCTGCATAATATTGTCGATTCATGGTTTATTGGTGGCGACAAGAAAGGGGGAATGCAACAAAATTGAAAAACTTACTTTGTGAATCATTAAAACTGTTTGTGAAGCTGGCTAAAACTAATTATGATGAATAAAATGCAAAGGCCCTGAAAGAAATCATGAACCAGAGTAACTATGACTTTCCAGACATGGATGTGATAATCGATATCTTGCAAGCCTTTCGAAAACAGCAGCATGTATAAACGTAACAGGCTATGAATTTGAGCTCACGCTGACAGGACAGGTGCTGAGTGGAGACGAGACATTTTTTCACACTCCAGTGTTGAAGGCATTTACAGAGGCTGACTCTGCTGCAGAATTGAGCTTTACAGTTCCAATGTGCTCCCTGCACAGTTTGAGAACCTGCCTAAGGTGGTAAAGAAGTCTACTCTCTAGCTTAGTAGTTGATACACATCTGACTTTTGGCTTTCAGGTTGTTGTAGAACTCAGTGCTCTGTGGCACCCCCACATCGTGCAGTACTATGCATCTCAGGCAGGCGTTGAAGCAATAAACTATCCATGGATTCTGAATTGCATGCTGTTCATTTATGAGGAGGACGTACCTGGAATAACACTTGCAAGTCTGTCATTCAACGAAGATGAAGTTCGACAATACACTTATCAGATAATCAATATCTTGCAAACCTTTCGAAGACAGCACGCAGGTGTGTATAAACGTAACAGGCTATGAATTTGAGCTCATGCTGGCAGGACAGGTGCTGACACTGCTGAGTGGAGACAGACAGACATTATTCCACACTCTGATCTCCACTCCAAACATATATATGTTCAAGGCCTTTACAGAGGCCGACCCTGCTGCAGAATTGTGCTTTACAGTTCCGATGTGCTCCCTGCACAGTTTAAGAACCTGGCTAAGGTGGGAAGTAGTCTACTCTCTAGCTTAGTAGCTCATGCACATCTGACTTATGACTTTCAGCGAGTTGCAGAACTCAGCGCTCTGCGGCACCCCCACATCGTGCAGTACTATGCATCTGAGGCAGTCGTTGAAGCAATAAACTATCCATGGATTGTGAATTGCATGCTGTTCATTTATAAGAAGAACGCACGTGGAAAAACACTTGCAACTGTGTCATTCAACAGAGATGCAGTTCGAGACTACACTAGTCAGATTTTATCTGGCTTAGAGTATCTTCATAGCAGAAGCACAAGACACGGGTTCATGTTTTAAGAGTGATCAATTCCAAGTGAAAACTTCATACTGATCTGTAGATTCTTTGTCAGGGCGCTCACAGCTGCAAACATACTTGTGGATACTTTGGATGAAGTTGTTAAGCTATCTCATTATGGCATCGGTTTGCAATCGGTACGTGTCTCTGTAAAATCTGAAACTGTTACGATTTTCCTTACCAGATTGAAGCGTTCCTGAGATGCCAGCCGAGGTTTGTGGATTGATAATCGTGGCCACATTGCTGAAACTTGTATCTCCAGTATTGTGATAGTCTTTCAGCGGATGTTTGGAGCCTGGGCTGTGTTGTACTTGAAATGATCAAGAATTTGGAGCCACAGAGTAAATACTCAAGCATCAGCAAAGATTTTTTTCCCTCCAGGGTTTGCTTTGCATTTTTTTAAATTTTTTTTTAACATTTTAAGTGGTTGGTTTCATCACAGCTCTCCACACTTCTTTGGACGGGAAGTCAATGTCCAATCTGGTGCGGAGGAGATCCCTAACAGCTTCCTGGTCGAATGCCATCACTTTTTGCATGGTGCTTCGAAAGAGGAACAAACAGACCTACAGCAGTGCAACTGGATGATCATCCTTTCGTGCGTGGTTATCGCGACCTGGTAAGCTGGTCTTTAGATAAACAAACATAATAATATATGAGGTATTATTTGCATGCTAGGGACGCAAGAAGCTCTTACTGACAGCGTTGGAAGAAGAGATGAGGAGGATGAGATTGAAGGAGGACTGACTTTCTGCAGACTTCTTCTCTTCACTTAATAAATTTGAGCTTGTTTTCTAGGCAATAGAGACTGAGTTCGTTATACAAGAACGGAATGCTCTGAGGTTCCCAGGCTCAGTGATTAGGCGCTATGCCTGTTTGTCCTCCAATCTCATCAGCATCTATGTTGTCCACCTCGTCCCTTGTGGCTGGCCTTCGTATTGATCTTCAGAAAACTAGATCCTAAAGTAATTGTCACTGCAACATATTTAATCCTATCGGTCTCATGCTTCTTGCTGCAAGACCTTGTAAACTGAATGAATGAATGATAACAGAGTTTTATTGTTATACAAGCCTTGCCTGTTTCATCATTCATTCATTCATATACTCTTTACATGGTTCTGCGTTGCTCAAGATACTTTAAACACTTCATATATATGTGAGAGATACTCACTGTTGCTGTGTGTTATCAAAAGTCCCATGGATTATAAAATTGGTATGTATGGTTTCTGAATTGGGGCATTTTTATGGCTTCGGCGGGAAATCTCTTGTGCGTCTTGGCCATGGCGGCCACCGCGGCTCTGGCTGTGGCGAGCTCCTGGGAGTTATGCGGTAAGCGCGTGGCATTCCCTCGTCCTGTCTAGCTGCTTGGCGAATTAGGGCATAACAATCCTTGCTCTCTTCCTCCAGACAAGTACAAGAGCTATCCCGTCAAGATCAAGGACGTGGAGGTCCTGCCGGATCCCGTTGTGAGCGGCCAGGATGCGGCATTCGTTGTTCCAGCGAGCACGAGTAGGTTTTCTCTGCGAAGCTTCTTTTCCAAGTGATTATTGCGTGATTCTTTGCGAATTGACTGCTTTTTCAAGGTGTTCCAATCAAGTCCGGCACTGTGATTGTCACTGTGCTATGGCATAACATCCCTGTGCATCGAGAGGTGGACGATTTGTGCGAGAAAACAAAGTGCCCAATTGCTGCTGGTGATTTCGTCTTGAACAGCACCCAAGCGCTCCCTGGATTTACGCCCTCTGTAAGTCACAGGATTTTTTTTTCTTTTGTTCTTTAGATCTTCTCTCTCACTCTCACAAACTTTCTTTCTCTCTCTCAGGGAAAGTACAAGATTAGAATGCAGATCGTTCAGGGCTCCAGCCTTTTGGCCTGTGCAAACATCCAGTTCCAGATCGTTTGGCGACGATTAGACGCGGCAGCGTAAGCTTTTAAGTTTCGCAAAAACGATAAAAAGGGTTCTGTGCTTTCCTTTTGAGTTGCCTATTTATGAATCGAAAAGGCTTTGTCCTCTTTGTGAAACCTAGCTATGGAGAAGTTTTTCCAGAGCTTACTGCTTCTAGCTGTTCTTTCCTTCTCGGTTGTCTCGGCGAGCAGCTCATGGACACCTTGTGGTGAGTTGTCTTTAAGTTTTCCTTGGTTTTGTTAACTCGTTTCCCTCGTTTTCGTGCAGATCATCGCCCTCGTGGGATCACTCTCCAAGATGTGAAAGTTGTCCCAGATCCTGCGATTACTGGCGAAGACGTCGAGTTCCAAGTCACTGGTTCATCAAGTTAAGTTCTTCTTCAGAGCTGTATATGTATATTAAAGAGCGTGAGTTTTCCATCAGGTGCTAGATTGGCGTCGGGAAAGCTTGCGATCACAGTCTACTTCCATGGAATTTTTGTGCGCAGGGAGATCTACGATCTGTGCCAGAAAACAAGCTGTCCAGTTGAAGCAGGAAACTTTGTGCTCAAGAGCTCCCAAAACTTGCCATCGGTCACGCCATCGGTAAGAAGATCTTCGTACAAACTATGTATCTAAAGTTTTTTTTCTTGCAGGGAGCGTATCGATTGAAGCTCGAGATGTTAGACCCCAAGAACAAACTCCTCGCTTGCGCGATGGTCAATTTCGATATTGTAAGACCAAATCCACTCGCCGATCAATGAGAAAGGATTTAATTCTAGCCGTAGAGTTTGTGATCCAACCGCTACAATTGCCCCACGCCATCCGTGAGAACGTTATACTGTCCGTGGTGGCAGTGGGCGTTTCTGGGGTTTCTATCCTTTCTTTGGATCACTCTCGATCGATCGCGCGCCGTGGAATGCCACCGATTTTCTCCGCGATCGCCCTCGTCTCGGCAGGAATTCTTGGATCGCGCCCCCGATGGACATCGCCGTGGGCGGCAACATGGCCGCCAGGCCCAAAATGCTGATGTGCTACCTCTGCGGCCGCGAGTATGGAACAAAGAGGTAAAGCTTCGATTCGATCTCACTGCCGCGCGATCTTGCTGTGAGACTTTGGTGATATTTCGTGGCCAGTTTGCCGATCCACATCCCGCAGTGCCAGAAGAAATGGCTAGCTGAGGAGGAGCTCAAGCCGCCAAAGGAGCGCCGGCCATTGCCGCTGCCGCCCGCCGAGATTCCCATCGCGACGAGCTCGGGAGGCTACAATGTGGATGCATTCAACGACGCGTAAGCTCCATTCCAAATTTCTTGCCTTGATCCTCAAGTTCTTTCTCTCTCTTTCCTTCAAAGATTTCTCTCTCTTTGTCGAGAATTTCCATTCTTCTCAGACTCAGAGTGAGCTCTTCCAATCTATTCCTTCGTAGACATTTCATTTCATTCTCTCTCATCCTTTGTCGAGAATTTCCATTCTTCTCTTCCAATCCCTTCCCTTGAAGTATTCCATTTCATTCTTTTTCTCTCTCTTGGTCGAGAATTTCCATTCTTCTCAGTGTGAGCTCTTCCAATCCATGTAGATCATTCTTTCTTCCATCACTCTCTCAGAGTGAGCTCTTCCAATCCGTTCCTAGATCATTCTTTTCTTCCATCTCTCTCTCTCTCTCTCTCTCCCCCCTCAGAATGAGCTCTTCCTATTTCCTCTTCGTGATCAAAGTTCTTACTGATTTTGTGGATGAATGTTTCGCAGGGCCTATGCGCAATGGGAAGGCAATTTGGAGCAATGCCCTCACTGCGATCGAAAATTTCGTCCGGAAGCTTTCAAGCACCATCAAAAGAGCTGTACGGCCCTTCGCCCCGCCAAAAAAGCTGGAACCGGGCTCACTGCCGCGGCGCTCTCCAATCGCCTGCCACCTGGACTCGTCCAACGTGGCGCAAGTACGTTCGTCCATTCCCTTTTTTAAATCCTTTGCTTGAAACAAGGACGTTTCTTCCAGAACAGGCTGCTGGACCATCTTCCTCTGGGGCTTCGAGATTGAAGGCAAGTACTTTTATCTCCGAGAACTTTGGAAGCTTGTCATCTAATGCTTGCACAATCTAAACAGATCTGGATTAAACTTCGTGCTCGCCTTCATCTCCTCTCAGCTTTGATCATGGATTTGCACAGGTTGAAGTGGAAGTCGGGGGCTCCAGCTCCGGTTCCAAAGGACGACAAAAGTGGTCGCTCCCGTGCACGACTGTGAGAGTTTCTACCGATTCTTTTCTTTCTTTCCGCGAGAACTCACGAGAGAAATTTTTGATTGCGAGAAGACTCCATGTACTCCGGGAGAAAGGTGTGACAAATGCGACGTTCCTTATGGTCGATCGGATGCAAAGTTTTGCTCGGAATGCGGTGCCAAGAGATCGACACTGCCAACCAAGTAAGAAAGAAGTAAGGTTTAATCTTGTTCTTCTATGATTTCGATGCGAGAGTTCTCACAAGAAAGCCACAGGCTTGTGATCTCGTGTTCTTCCAGGAACAATTCGCTTCGTGTCAAAGTCTGAAAGAGGAATATACTCATAACCGGAATCATTCCTGTCCGATTCTCTCTTCGTTTTGCCTTTTTTTAGCATGCTAACCAAATAGGAGCATTAAGCGCCGTATCAACGACCGGGATGCGTTGGTCGTACGTGGCACGATCGCGGCCCTCGAAACGCCGCTTCTACGATTATTTTTTCCGCTAGGAGGACGGCAAGGCGCTAGGGATTGAGAAGAAAGAGTGGCCTGCGAGAGATTAGGCGCGGCGATGGTGGATGCGCGAAAGGTCGTGGACTAGTCGGCGCGAGCTTGGAGATCCACTCTAGCTGTAGGGTTTTGGGCCGGGCTCCTAGGGCTTTTCGACGCAATCGTCGGCAATTCCTCGCGGAAATTCCAGCTTGCTCGTCGCGATGGAGGAGGATTTGGACTGCCCGCTGTGCATGGAGGAGATGGATATTACGGACCGGCACTTGAAGCCGTGCCACTGCGGCTACCAGGTTTGAGCTGTGGAAGAAGAAATCGGTGGAGCGTTGTCGATAATCCGTGTGTGTGCTTCGCAGATTTGCGTGTGGTGCTGGCACCAGGTGATGGAAAATGCGGCCAAGGAGAACACCGAAGGGCGGTGCCCGGCATGCCGAACGCCATATGACAAGGACAAGGTCGTCGGGACGCGGCTAAGCTGCTCCGAGTAAGAACTTTAGACTTTAGATGAGGCTGTGAGAGGAAAAGGCTGATTCTTTGCTCGTCTTTGTGATTGCAAGGCTCGAGTTTACAGCCAGCAAGAGGAAATCGCACAAGGCCAAGTCGAAGACGCAGGAGGGAAGAAAGCATCTAAGCAATGTACGAGTAGTACAGCGTAATCTCGTCTACATTGTCGGCTTTCCGGTGAACTTCGCTGATGAAGAGGTGACACTTTGTTTCTCTGTTCTTCGCGTCTTGGTAACGCCATGCCGTGTGAAGCAGATGCTGGAGAGGCGAGATTTTTTTGGGCAGTATGGCAAGATTTTGAAGGTTGCGGTATCTAGGCAGCATTCGCATAATGGTCCCACTGCAAGCGTGTACGTTTTCGTTTGTTCAGCTTTTGTGTTTGAGAACTCACACAGGTTATTCTTCGTCAGGTATGTGACTTTTGTCAGAGATGATGATGCAGTGAAATGCATAAATGCTATAGATGGTTGCATCTTTGAGGGAAAGTTGTTGAGGTATGAACTACAATCATCAGATAGTAATGCGCGACTGATAAATTTGTTTCTGGCTGCAGAGCTTGTTTCGGGACTAACAAGTATTGTAACTCGTGGCTAAAGAATTTGGTGAGTCTCGTTTAATTTTCCGATTGCTCTTACTGACTCGCCTTGTGAAGCCGTGCAACAACCCGGATTGTCTATACTTGCATGACGAGGGGCCCGACGAGGACAGCTATACCAAGGAGGAGATGATTGCAAAGTATGGCAAGTATGTGTCGATCCTGACCATCTTTCGCTTGCACTGACTTTTAGCTTCTTCCAGTAAGATCCAGTTTAATGATCTTACAAGGCCGCCTCATCGGGCCGCCGGAGTCTTGCCGCCACCTGCGGAAGGGAGCTGCTCAGCTGCGGTATGCATTCTGTTTGTTTTAAGCTTGTACATCATTTCACGACGTTTTTTAACTTGCCAGATGGGACAAAGTCAACAAACTCCGAACAAAGTTCCAGTCTCAAAGCCAGCTAGTTCTCCTGTGCCGAAGCTGACTAATCTTCCTCCAGCTGCTGCATGGTAGGACGTCCACTTTTTGTTTTTCCACTTACAATATTCTTCGACAGGGGTATGCGAGACACACCAGCAAAGACCATGAAAGTCGAACCTCAAACAGACTCCAGTCAAGAAAGCACCAGTCCTGTTCATGCATACCGATCATCTATGGATTCACAGCATGATGGGGACTCCTTTCAGGAGAAAGCAGCCAGTGATAGTCCGGTTCAGTTGAACGTCGGCGAGATGAGTATCAGTCTTGGCTCCGATCTTCCCAATGGACATGCACTATGCTCCGAGATTTTGAGCCCTCCTCGTGCCGAGAGCAACATGATCTCTGCGTTAGAAAGACTGGACCTTGGTGTTCAAGACACAGAAACTCCAAGGCCGAGCAGTTCTTCAAGCTCTCTGGATCCAAAGCTTGCGCGAGCGACGAGCAACGAACCTGCCGAAAGTAACATCATAGCTGACATATTGACCATGGACTTCAGTGAGGACGGTGCGAGTCCAGGAGATTTGACAAAGCTTTTCCTGACCGGGAGAACTACACCAAAGCCGGCTGACGATTTTCTGGAGTCTCCTCTTCCTTGGAAGCCTCATGGGAAGCAGCAGTCACGCTTTTCTTTCGCTCGTCAGGAAGACATAGGCTACGAACCGTCGACCAGCAATCAACATGCTCTTGAGAGTGCGCTGGGTGGATTTCCCGTGGAAGCACCGTTGCTCTCTAGAAGCCAGTCGATATCGTCTGCTGATCCTGGTAAGCTATGTGAGCTACAGTAGTTTTCACTTATTTCTTCTCTTTTGTTTTCAGTGCATACCTCTACGATGAAGGCACGGTTGTTTGCACCGCCGGGATTCTCTGGTACTTCGGTTCCTCCTCCGGGGTTCTCTCTCAGGAGCTCTAGCAGTATGCCCCCCAGTCCTGCAGGTATGTCGCCTTTCATTTGCTCAATGCTCGATCCAGGATGTCTTGTATAGGTGGCCGACTCAACGAATTCGATCTCATTGATCCTGCGATTATGGCGGTTGGTCGAAGCCCTTTGCAGAACGATATCTCTAGGACGATGCGGCTTCAACATAAAGCAGGCATTCGGCAGTTTTTCCCTCCTACAGACCATGGCGACGTGGGTGCTTTGGCGAGGCAGTACGACAATCCACTCTCTCCGTATTCTCCAAGTTCTGCGAGGAACTACAGGGCCGTTTCGACAGTAGATAATAGCTGGGTAGGGGGTTACAGCGCTGAGGCCTTGGCGAAGTTCAAGAGAGGTGGCATCGGATTGGGTAGCACGGGAGTTCCGAACTCCATGAGACCTGGCGATGGCGACAGTATCTTCTCCTCGAACAGAAACCAAGCCTTCGATCACTACATGAGCGAGCAGTCTTTCCAGGCCGATATTCAGGGGGCATTTGTATAGCACGGACGATTTCTTCACAGCATTCGCGCGCACGGGAGGAGAAAATCTTTCTTCACGTAGGCATTGTGTCGACTTAGGTGAGCTACTTCTTCCCTTTCTGTTTGCGGCGCTTGTTTCTAACGCGGTTGAAAATGCTGTTACAGAATAAAGAACTTGAAGCTGGTGGGAAAGGACGTGCGCGAAAAGATTCACGTCAAGGAGAGGCCCAGGCTGTTGCGCGAGTGTGAATAACCGAGAGCTTGACAATGTAGGCACCTCTTTTTTTTTTTCTTCACATTTCTTTCTGCGAATTACAATTTTTTGGACTGATGGCAGCAGGGAAATGTGGCTGTCTGTTCATATGTATAAAAGAGAGATTTTTTGTTTCAACCCGATCGGTACCAAGCGTCTGGTAAAGAAAAACAAAGCGATTTTGATTTGCGTGACGAGTTCGTTATTCTAACTAGTGTTCCTTGGCTATGGGGATCTCTTGCAGCGGTACGTGAAACGGGAGGACGGGATGCCACACTGGAAGGGGATTTTGTCGATGGCTGGCCAGTTGGGGATCATCTGGGGGCTTTGGCCGTACAGAAGCGATGAGGCGAGCTGGCTCCAGCGGACGTGCTTGGAAGTGGTGCAAGCGCAGGCGTCGTCGTGGGTGAGAGCTCGGAGTGCGCTGCAGCATTCTGGCGATGGCGGTGGAGGCAGGATGTCGAAGGCCGAGACGAGGCAGGGCTGGAACTCCTCCCGGACTTGGTCGCACAGATTGGGTGACGAGAAACAAGAGCAGCAGCAGTGGAGATAGCAGCAGCACAGCAGCCAGAAGAAGCGCTGGGGGATTGTCATCTTGGTCGCGAGAGCAACACGAGGGAGAACTTGGCGTGGAGCGAGAGGTTTTGAAGATCGCGCTAGAAGTCTCGGACATAGTATGAGCAACCTACTTGGAATCCATACTTTTTCAAAGATTGAAAGATCTACCACCTTTTCGACCTTTATCGAATATTTTAGATCTTTGTCGAATATTTACAAGATTCTCCATTTTAGGGTTTGATCTTTACCTTTTCTATTTTGTATTGAAGCTATTACTAGTTTGCAAACTAGAAGTCTTATGTTTATATACTAACTTACGTTTTGCAATTGCAAGAGAAAATTCTATCTGTATCCGTAGGGCACAGTGTTCGTTGATGGATGAGAGTTTTCGAGATTTCTCCACTACTGGTTCTCTAAATTCCATATGGATTTTAATGCCCATTGTAATTGGCACACGAAGTTGGCATTGAATTTGCATTTTGATCCAGTTGAGTGACGTGTAAAACGAAGAGAAAGAGAGAGATCCCGGGAACCTGGTGATTGGAACCTGGTTTCCAAAGTTTTGTTCCGAGTTGTCAAATCGTGGTTCGCTTTGCACGCTTTCCTCCTCCCGCTGCTACTCCCCCTCCTGCTTTGTGTTGCTGCTGGACGCTGCAACTGGAGCTGTTGTTCTGTCCCGGCGACGAAGAGAATATGGAGCTCGAGGGCCTCTTGAAGCTCCTGGAAGTTGAGAGCAGCGGAGTAGCAGCTGGCTGATTCCGGTACTTGAAGTTCTCCCACAGCGTGAAGATGTCGTTGCTCGGCTTCTTCCTCTTAACCCCACCACCTTCTTTTGTAGCAGCAGCAGCAGGAACACTCGCAGTAGCGTCCTTTCTCTTCCTCGACGAAGTGCTACGAGTCGGAGTTTCGTCGTGCACCATCAGAGGTGGCGCTGCCGGCGGGGGTCTCTTGAGATTCTTCTTGCTTTGCTCGCGAGCGCTCAGCCAACTCTTCAAAGCGTCCTTGACGGAGGTGGACGACGAAGATTGGCGCCTGTTTGAGGAGAAGCCAAAGCCGCTAGCCGTGCACTTCTTGCTGACAATGCCTTCTCGCCCTTCGATGTCATCGAGAGCCACCGTTTCAAAGGTGTGCGTCGCTGGAATTGCTGGCGACTCGTCCCAGTCCTCGTCTAGCTGCCCGGCGGGCGGAAAGTATGGAACCGACGTGAAATGGTCCCCCGAGTTCCATTCCTCGTCCAGCTCGGCCGCGGGAGGAAAATACTGGAATTCATGTCTGTAGCCGCACGATGGAGCCTTCTGTCCCACAGGCTCGGCTGCACCCTGTCGTCCATATCCCTCTATAAAGTCCTGATTCTCTTGTCCACGTCCCACACGTCTCTCCACTTGTCCATACTCGCACTGGGATTTGAAGAGCTGCAGCGATTGGGAAGATATGGCGAAAGGTTTCGCGGCTGCGAGCTGTTCCGGTGGTGCCATTGCTATGAAGGCGGCGAGAGTTTTCTCGGAAGATAGGATGGCGTGAGCGGTGAGCGGGTTGATTGCCGGCGACTCTGTCAGAAATGCTTCCGCCACAGTGGGGGACTCTGTCATTCGAGGAAACGTACGAGAGGTGGCGCTGGTTTGAGCTTCCTTGACGCAGCTCAAAACGATCGAGTCGGTGTTTGCCGGATCGCGGGAAACGAAGCATTGGGCGTGGATGCTGAGACCAACGGCTGCTGCGTAGACGTCATCGACATTTTGAAGGACGGCAGTCGTGAATCTTCTGTCACCTTCAAAGACCTGACAGAGAATACAATATCAGTTATAAGAGGGAGCAAACTGAAGAGCTTACCATGATGCATTGCTGGAAGGCAAAGCTGATGGCCTTCATATCATTGTCGATAATGCTCTCGATGCACGCCGAGACGCCCTCCACACTGTTCGCTTGTTCATGCATGCACAGCTTCTCCGGGCTGTAAAAGACGAGGCACTTTGTAGGACTCAGAATGACGTCGATCGGTAGCCTTAGTTCCCTCTCCACCACCTGCGCTCCCCCCTTTTCAACAGCAAGAATTCGCTGGTACGTACTCCTCCTGGAAATCAGTCCGTGCTTGTTGACGAGCCTGCTGTTCACCACGAAGATCTCCGTGCATGTCTGACTCGACGGCAGCCTTGCACCAGGAACTCCAAAGTTGCCACTCCGCCGCTTAGCATCGGTTCGCTTAGCATCACGTAGAGGCACCTTTAGATCGAGTGAAACGTGCGCTTCGCTGACTCTAGCCGGACCGATGGGCTCTGTGGGAAATTCCAATGGTGGCAGTTTTGAGTCTTGAGAGACGCTACTGCTCTCCTTGCCTGGTTGATGTGGAGCTGGAGCAGTGGCGATTTTCTCCACAAGACCCCAGAGATGACGGCTCCTGAAGTAGAAGCACCGGTGATCATTGCAAGTGTTGCTTTCGGAGAGATGCCAGTCCAGATATATGAAGTCCGTGGCGGACGGCTGAGAGTACTTGGCAAGAGAAGCCAGAGTCCCAAAAATGAATTCTTCCACCTTTTCCTCCCTGTCGCTGGAGTGGAGCGCTGGAACCGGCAAAAGCTTGACGAGATGGCAGCGTAGAGAAAGCTCTGGAACGAGCACCAGCTTCTCATACAATTGTGGCGTCACTATATAGTTGTCCAGGAACTCGAGCTGGACGTGCTGCATGACCAATGAGTCTACCATCTGTGCGACAGTGTGTTCCTCTAGTCCCGCCTCAGGGATATCAACTTGCTTAGTTTCCAGCATGGAAACTTTCCCAAGAGTCGAGCTCCCAAACAGCGATTCTTCTATCGGTCCTTGCTGATCAAGAGATGGAAAGTATGGCAGGGATAGCTCTGGGATGATAACTAGCTTCTCGAACACCTGTGGTGCCACCAGCTGCTCCAAAATCCCGAGATCGATTGGCTGGATAGCTAGACCTGATGCTAAAGCCTGTGGATCCCAAGCCAGCTCCTCACTGTGTTCTTCCATCCCAGAGCCATCCAGTGACGTGAAAAGATCTGGAAAATCCACCTCCTCGCTCTCCAGAACGAATATCTGCCTTGAAACGCGAGAAGGGAAATTCCGAGAGACCACCACCGGCTGGAACTCCACAGGCTCGATGTGGAGAACCGCGGCCTGGCGATCCAAGGCAGCCAATTCTCCTTCTTCTTCTTCTTCCAGCGGGAGCTCACGCTGCGCGCTGAAAATCTCTTCTTGGATTGAGAAATCCTCTTCCGGAGAATCAACCTCGGGGATTTCCAGCACGAATATCGGCAAGCACGGCAGCGTCGGCGGCGCCCTGGGGACTTGATCTGGCAAGATCGGCCGGCATTCCAGCTTGAACGGGAGAAGACTCTCCAAGAGCTTGTCCCGGAGGCCCGGCCGGAGTGATTCCAAGCACGCGCCTAGCTCCGGCAGCGGCCTCTCATCGATTTGCTGCTGTGCTTGCCCGAGGACGATCTCCGGTAGCTGCGATCGCTGCTGCTGCTGCTGCCGATCGAAATCTTGGAGCTGGAGAACGCAGACATGGAGGATCGATCTTGCGCAGGCAAGAGTAGCATTCTCGGCGGCCCTGTCGAAGAAATCCGCGTCGAGATACCTGAGCCGCATCGCATTGCGCTTGTCCGTTAAACCCTAGTTCTTTTAGAAGAATATTCTAAATATTTGGAATAAACAAAAAATGTAGGTTTATCGAATATGGTCCACTTTATCGAATATTCTTGAGATTCTCCTTCTTCTTGCAAGGGTTTAGGGTTTATCTCCAATGGCATGAGAAGGACGCTTGCGCTGCACCAATGCAGTCGCAGGCCTCACAAGAAGCCTCTTCTACACAGGGGCAGCGTCGCGGGATCTGGATCCGGCGACGCCGTGAGAAGGGAATTGGATCGCCTGGAAGCCCTCGATCGCGCGGCCGACGCGGATACCTATGCCGTCCTCATCCGCCAATGCACGCTCGCGCGGGCAGTACCCGAGGGCCGGCGCGTCCACGCCCACATCTCCAAGCACGGATGCCGCGACTCCTTCCTCCTCAATCTCCTCGTCCAGATGTTTGGGCGATTCGGCTGCGTCGCGGATGCCAGCCGCGTCTTCGATTCCATCCCGGCGAGGAACTGCTACTCGTGGAACATCATGGTCGCGGCATTTGCCCAGAACGGGCATTTGCAGCAGGCCAGGATCACCTTCGATCAGATGCCGCCCAGCGACAGGAGCGTGATCTCCTGGACGGCGCTCATCACCGCTCACTCGCAGAACGGCGCCGCCGCCACCGCGATCCAGCTCTTCGCGCTCATGGATCTGGATGGGATCCGCGCCGACACCATCACCTTCGTGAGCGTCATCGATGCGTGCTCGAGCTTGCGGAGAATCGATCACGGCATCGCCGTCCACGTGGAGGCCCGGGAGAGCGGTACAGAGATGCACTACGCGGTGGCCACCGCGCTGGCTAGCATGTACGGCAAGTGCCGGCGATTGGAGCGCTCGAAAGAGATGTTCGATCGGATGGAAGAGCGCAACATGGTGACGTGGACAGCCATGATCACGGCGTACGCGCAGAATGCGCAGCTCGACTGGGCGGTGGAGATCTTCCGCCGGATTCCGGAAAGGAATGTCGTGTGCGCGACCGCGCTCGTCGCAGCGCTTGCCCAGAACGGGCATTTGCGCGACGCCGAGGAGCTGTTCTTGGGCATGGAAGATCGCAACAGCGTTTCGTGGGGGACGATGATCGCGGCTTACAATCAGAGTGGAGATCCCGCGAAGGCGCTGGAAGTGTTCGATGCGATGGAAGGCGATGGGATCCGGCCGGACAAATGCGTGTTCGTGAGCGCGCTCGAGGCCTGCGGCGCGCTGGGCGATCTCGCGGAGGGCCGGAAGATCCATCGCCGGATCGCCACGGCGAGGATGGAGGAGAATTTGATCGTCGCGAATGGGCTCATCGCGATGTATGGGAAGTGTGGCGGCGTGGAGGAGGCGAGAGCGGTGTTTGATTCGACGCCCCAGAGATCCCTCCTCTCGTGGAACCTGATGATCGCGGCGTATGCCCAGAATGGGCATCCCCGCCACGGCGAGAAGCTGCTCGATCGGATGCCCGAGAGGGATCTGGTGGGCTGGAACACGGTGCTCATCGCCGACGCCCACGACGCCAATGTCGCCAGCGTCGAGCGATTGTTCGCGGCGATGGAGGAGGGCGATGTGGTGTCAAGGAACGCGGTGATGCTCGCGCTGGTGCTGTGCGATCGCGAGGAGGAGGCGCTGGCAGGCTTCCGGATCATGGATCTAGATGGCATACAGCCCAATCGCGTGACGTTTCTCTCGATCCTGGACGCGTGCTCGTCGCTCGCCTCGATCGAATTCGGCCGCGTCGTGCACGCTTGCATCGTCGATTCGTGCTTTGCGGGCGATGTTCACGTCGGGACGTCCCTGGTGATGATGTTTGGGAGGTGCGAGCGCGCCCAAGAGGCGGACGCGGCGTTCCACGCCATCGTCGCGAAGAACATCCTGGCCTGGACTGCGATCCTATCCGCAAATGCTCTCTCCGGGCATTTGGATGCCGCGAGAGTTGTATTTGATCTTCTTCCACTCCGCGACCTCGCGGCCTGGAACGCTATGATCACTGGATACGCGCAGTTCGGCCACAGCGATCCAGCGCGAGAGCTCTTCGATCAGATGCCGGAGCGGAATGTGATCTCCTGGACTGGAATGATCTCCGCGTATGCCTATAGCGGGCATCGTCGCGAAGCTCACTATCTCTTCAAAGCCATGGATCTCCTCGGCCAGCGACCAAACAAGATCACGTATCTCAAAGCGCTCGAGGCCTGCGCTGGGGGGATCACCGCCGCGGAGGCCCGAACGATCCACGCCAAGGCGATCGAGAGTGGATACAGCAGTGACACCCAAGTCGCGGTGGGACTCTTGAATCTCTTCGAGAAGTGTGGCAGTCTTGCGATCGCGGAGAGAGTTTTCGATGATCTTGGCGAGAGGAAGACGGTGGTGGCGTGGAGTATCATGATCAGCGCCTATGCCCAGTCCGGGCGTCCCTGGAGAAGCTTGGAGCTCTTCACGGAGATGGTGCAGAGTGGTGTGATGCCGACAGAGATCACGGTCGTGAACTTGCTCTCGGCTTGCAGTCACGGCGGGTTCTTGTATCACTCGTGGCTGTTCTTCGTGTCCATGGTTGGCGACTATGGTTTGTCTCCGATCTTGGATAACTACGTGTGCCTGGTGGATATCTTGGGACGGACTGGGCAGCTTTTGCTGGCGCAAGAGTTGCTCGAAGCGATGCCGTATGAGCCGAATGATATCGCGTGGACTTCGCTGCTGAGCTCTTGTAAGACGCAAGGCGATGGCGGGCGTGGAGCTAGCGTTGGGGATCAGGTGATGGATCTGTGTCCGAAGCACTCTGGGCCGTATAGACTCGTCTGGAATGTGTGCGTTGGTGGTCTGGAAGAAGGAAATGGATTAGCTCTTTCTGGTATAGGATAAACATCTATAAGCCATCCAAGTACCTTCTCAAGCTTTAGTCGAATCACATACTACAGTATTTGTGAGACCAGCTCTCGGGAGCTAAGAGGTCGCTGATAATCTTCATTAAATCCCGAGTTTTGTATGTTGCAAGTCTTCCACCAGTGGTTTGTCCTGAGAAAAAAGGATCAAAACAAGTACCTTCTCAAATCAAATCACATACTGTTGTAGAGTATCTTTTCTCGGAGCTAAGAGGTCGCTGATATCTTCACTTACTTCCCAAGCCTTGTATCGTTTGTCGAAAAATTGGGAAACACTTATTCTTTCTCTAACAACTTGAGTTCGTTGCGTACCGCACAATGGAAAGATTGCCGAATCCGTCGCACATCGCTGCTGCAAAAGTATTATAATACTCTTTTTTGGTTAGCACCACTTTGCCTAACTCTCAATCCGCATGAAGGCTATCTTAACAATTTGATCGCTGCGAGTACTAAACAATCTCTAAACGATGAGCAAAGAATGCTGCGTGAGCAACCAACTTGGAACCAGAAACTCTCGAGCAAGATGACAACAAAGAGAAATAAAAGCCAAAACTTCCAACGAAAGATCTACTTATAAGCCAGCTCACCACTAGCATTCTCTCCTGTCTCTCTATCTCTTTTTCAAACTCCTCCTCTCAAGTATACACACAATCGCTAAAGAAGGAAAGAAGGAAAGCATACGATGGATCACAGGGAAACGAACGCTACCTCATGGTCGATCCTTGTGTTGCTCCTGGGAGCTGGAACAATCCAATGCGCCATGGGCCACTTTGGCGAGAAAGGAGGAGGCAGCGTCACCAATCCCGCCATCCCCGACGGCGATCGATGCCTCCAGCTGCGCGAAGAGCTGGTCCCGTGCTCCGCGTCGCTCTACGGGATCTTGCCGCCGGCCCCCAGCGCCGAGTGCTGCAGCGCGCTGTGGTCGCTCACCACCGAGGCCGTGTGTAGCTGCGCCGTCGGCCCCGTGGGGTGGAAGGAGATCTTCCTCCGCGTCATGGGAGATGGAGGATTGATCAACATACCCGCGGCGCTGCGCATCCCATTCCAATGCAAGGTCGCGCGATCGCGCCCCGGATTTCTCTGCTCGCCGCCGCTATAGCACGATCGATCGGAAATATTTTTTAACCCTATTTATACGGATGGAATGTACGGATGAAATGGAGATCTTCCCTTTTTTTCCTTCCCTTCCCCCATTTTTCTCTTATTCCTGGACTAGGGTTAGGGATTGTGGTTGTGCGAGGTACGTGGATCGATTGGGCGTGCGGCAACGGCGAGGCGGTATCCTTGCGGTAGGCTCTCTCCGTGCCAGATCTAGGCTCACAGCGCTTTTCTGTCGCGTCGCAGCTCTAGATCTGGCGATACGCGACGATTTAGGCCCGGATTCATCACTGGATCGTAGAGCGGGCGATGATATATCGCCAATGGGACAGGAGGTTCGTGGCCATTGCGGAAAATTCTCGATGGCACAGTGATTTTGGTTTTGCTTGTAGGTGTTGAGCGAGAATTGGGCCGAGGAAGAACGGCTGGCCGTGGTGCCTCTCGAGGGCGCTAGCGCTTCCACTCCAGATGTGTCTGTTGGACTCATGGGTGGGCGCTCCTCGGATGTTTCTCCCGTGAAGCATCAAAACTTTGGTCTGGAGGTTGAGAAGGAGAACGACGACTTCTTTGGGGGTTCTAGCAGTGGCAGCCGGAATGGCAGCAGGGGTCTCGCTGGCCTCCAGAATCTCGGGAACACTTGCTTCATGAACAGTGCGCTCCAGTGCCTGGCTCACACTCCGGAGCTCGTGGAGTACTTCCTCCAGGATTATGATGACGAGATCAATCCGGCGAACCCACTCGGGATGGAGGTACGGTTTCCTTTCACTGTTGCTGGCTTTGTGTTCTTGGGTGTCAAGAGCGGTCTTGCATGTCCAAAGAAAGAAAAAGATAGTGATTTTACTGAGTGTTTCAGACATGCAAAAGGACGCTGCAATGGGGTTATAGATTGCTTTTTGCTACTGCCAGTCAGCTACCTAGGATGGGCAACGGCGGAGTTAGGAGTAAGGTATTCCTTTTGTATGAATGACTGGGGCGTGGTCCTAGATTCTAGCGTAAGTGTTTTCTTTTTCCCATCTTTTCTTTTCTTTTCACAGGGTGAACTGGCTGTGGCGTTTGGAGAGCTTATAAGGAAGCTATGGGCAGGAAGAGAAGTTGTCGTGCCGCGTCCGTTCAAAAACAAGCTTTCTCGATTCGCTCCACAGTTTAGTGGATACAATCAACATGATTCGCAGGTTTGTTTGATTGTAGTATCTTAGAATACAGCTACTAACGATGTGTCATCGTACAGGAGCTCCTGGCCTTTCTTCTGGATGGACTGCACGAAGATTTGAATCGCGTAAAATCAAAGCCATATATTGAAGTTAAAGATATTGATGGACGACCGGATGGAGAGGTTGCAGATGAGTACTGGGCAATCCATAAGGCGCGCAACAACTCGATTATTGTGGACCTTTTCCAGGTTTGTGTTCGTACTTTTATATCTAATACGGCAACTAAGGTGTTTTATTTGCAGGGACAATACAAATCGACTTTGGTCTGCCCCGTTTGCGCGAAAGTATCGGTTACATTTGACCCCTTCATGTATCTATCCTTGCCGTTACCAGAGAAACAACAACTGATGAGCGTAGCAGTCACGGTGTTCAGTGGAGATGGGAGTGCTTCTCCGGAGGTTCATACGGTTCAAATACCCGGACCCAAGCAAGCACGTCCTAAGGATCTTATTCACGCATTAAGCGTGGCTTGCACTCTAGAAGAAAACGAATATCTGTTCGTTGTGGAGGTAATGGGATCCTTATTGTTCCGTTCACTCATAACCTTTTATTTTCCTGTTCTATTGCAGGTATATAATAATCGGATCTATCGTGTAATTTCTGAATGTCCCAGTGCTCCACTTTCACTAGCTAATGGGGATCGTCTGGCTGCGTTTAGGCTAAAGTCGTTCCCTGGCAAAACAACGAAGCTTATTCTTTACCATGGCACTCTTGAGGAGTAAGTTTTCTCTGTTTTTACTTTCTGAGGCATGTAACATATGAATTTTCGTGCAGGACAATAGGAAAGCAGTTTAAGCTTTATGGTTCTCCACTTGTCACTGCCATACCTGAAGCGGGGCTTAGTGAGGGTGCTGAGCTTTACAATCTCGTTGCCAAGGTTGTGAGTCCGTTGAGGCGGGAAGCCGAAGTGAACAGTTCTCCGGAAGATTGGCCATTTCGTTTGTTTATAACAGATGACAAGGCCTCTACGGTGGATCTGCTAATAGACCCACATATGCCACTCCCTACGTTCAACTTTTCGCCGAGAGAACACAGATATTTGATTTTAGTATGGTCCCCAAGCGCTAAGGATCAGTATGGCTTCAAAGAGCTAGAGAACCTGGCTCCAGTAACTATCCCCGATTCAAGAAGGCGAGAACCAATATCCTTGTACGCTTGCCTAGAGGCATTCATGAGAGAGGAACCTTTGGGACCGGATGACATGTGGTAAGCTTCTAAAACGTTTTCTTTTTTTCTTCACGCTTTGAGCTTTGGAATTACGTGCGATTGCAGGTTCTGCCCGAAATGTAAAGAACACCGTCAAGCAAGCAAGAAGCTGGATCTCTGGAGGTTGCCAGAGATTCTGGTGGTCCACCTGAAAAGGTTCTCTTACAGTCGGTACTCAAACAAGCTGGAAACGCTGGTGGACTTCCCTGTGCACGACTTGGATTTGAGCAAGTACGTATCACACCGGACAGATCCATACGAGCTTTTCGCCGTGAGCAATCACTACGGAGGCGTGGGTGGCGGTCATTACACTGCATATGCAAAGGTTTTCTTTTCTTTTCTTTTTTTTTTCCTTTCGTAGCTGACGTCCTGTCTATTTTCAGTTGTGCAACGAGAACAAATGGTACAACTTTGACGACAGCTGCGTTAATCCCATGAGCCCCGATTCCATAAAAACAACGGCAGCGTATGTCCTGTTCTACAGGAGAAAGCGGCTCGGCACAAACCCAGCGCCAGATCCTTGCGTAAGCCGGGGAGTATCGTCTTTAAGCATGATATAGTTTTTTTCTTATTTTTTGGCGGATTATTAACATCAGTCCAGTGAGGCCTTTTCAGCAGAAGCTATTGATAATTCGGCTGAAAGCAAGAGTTAAACAAACAAGTGATAATAGATTCTCCTTCCCACGTCGGCGGCCGCATGGTTCCGGCGGTTGTGAAGGAATATCCTACGACGCACAACCACCGTATGTGATGAGGCAATGTATCCAGAGCGTTTTGTTCTTTTGGGATTCATATTCTTGTTTACGATTGGTCGGGTGGCATTTGACACTTTTCAGCAGCACTACTCTCCTCCAAAGGTAGACTCTTATTAAACTTATTGACAATGCGATTCTAATCCTTTCTCTCTTCGTTTTTCATTCCAGGTCGCTACTCGCGTTTCAGCACCGGGAAGCAGCAGCGGCAGCAGCAGCAGCGACCACGATGGCAATGCCTCCCGTGTTGCGATTTGCCTGTTGGGACAGCTGCGACACTTCGAGCTAACCGGTCCGAGCATCCGGAAGTTCGTCATCGACGCACACAAGGACGCTGATATCTTCCTCAATGTCCCGCTGGACGAGAACACCTGGAAGATCGCACTGCTCGGGGTCAACGCCCGCTTCCGGATCGCCAGGATCTTCAGGGCGTATGACATGCTCGAGAGCACGATGCACAAGGAGCTGCTCAAGTCGAAAAGCTCTCCAAACGGCGTCCAAGTAAGTGGAAAACGAGGAACTTTGTTCTTGCCTTCTCAAAAACTCTTGCTTTCTCAGGGCCTCCTGCAGTACTTCAGCCTGGTCGAAGGCTGCATGCAGCTCATCGTGGCCTACGAAAAGATGCACGGCTTCCAGTACAAATGGATCGTGAGGACAAGGCTGGACGGCTACTGGACCGCGCCACTCCCGGCCACCATCTTTCGTCCCGGAGTCTACACGGTGCCGTATGGTTACGACTTTGGCGGTCTCAACGACAGGCTCGGTGCTGGGGACCGGCAGACGACCATGGCCACCATCAACCGGCTCAGCATCCTCCCCAGTCTCCACGCGCAAGGCTACCGCAACATCCACTCGGAGCGCGTGTTCGAGGTCCACCTCCGTGTCTCGGGCATCCGGGTGGCGAAAGAGATGCTGCCGTTTTGCATCTTGAGCCACCGGAACTTCCCCTGGCCGGTGCTCGAGACCCCAGTGGCGTCCATCCTCAGCAAAGGTCCTCTCAACGGAGCTTACTGCAGACCGTGCACTCCCAAGGCCGGGCAACGAGAGTCCAACCGGATCGTGAGGAAGCTGTACAGGAACACGGGGTGGTGGAGCGTGGACAGGTCCGGGTGGATTCCCACGGATGGAGTGACGCTGGAGCTGTGCGATGCGTCGAAGCAGGCGTGGGAGGATGGCTGGGAGGCGGTGTTTGACAGGGCCTCCGGGAGGGAGGCCGCGGAGATTCGGATGAGGCTCGGCAACGCGTCGCTGGCGGACTGTATCGAGCAGAATGAGGAGTTCCAGCGAGGGTGGGAGATTTGGGACGGGATGTCGCCCAAGGATCTGTGCTTGCACTCGAGAAGAGATGGACAAAACTTTCCTTTGCATTGAAAGATCTTGTTCTCTTTTCCCTGAAGACTGTAAAACTAAGCACTTTGCTTACGCTGGTGCTAAGTTTCCGGATTCTCGGTCTTGGAGAGAGAAATGACGTTGAAGTCTAGCGATCCGGGGTTCATGGAGATGAAGTTTTGGATGACTTTCACGGAATCCTGGAGAGAAGAGTGTCTAGAGAACTTGTATGATGTGATCACAAGGTTTTGTTACCTTGAGCACTGATGATGGAGAGGAAGGGCCATGGTAGACTGGTTGTTCTTTACGGCCATCTAGCTCGTAGAGACCACCTAGACAAGAGAATGAAATAAGTTGAGATATTTTTAGCGGAGTTTGCGCGTACCATCCACGCAGACAAAGCAAATGAAATGCAGGTTCACTGGAGTGTCAATCGCTGGAGGCTGAAAAAAACCGATGTTTCAATGACAAGAAAGATCGAAACTTTGATGAATTAATTACCGCAGTGTCTCCGGCAGCTGCTGCGACGCAGTGAGCACCCTCGAGTTCCCTATCGTTTTCGAGATAGCTCGCTCTCTAAAACAAACAAAAAAAAGAAAAAAAAAAAATCAATAAGGAAGAACTCAATCATGCCAATGTACTTCAGAAGGAGATAACTTGCTGGTCGACTCAAAAAAACGTTTGAAGTACGACCCCTCTGCTGGAAAGATTTTAGTACTGTAAAACTAGAGATGATCGATATAGAGGGGACTTGCCGTGCTGAATTTGAGAAGTGTTGTTTCCAATCGCATGTAGCAGACCGATGGTGCCACAAGCATTCCCGACTGTCTGTTTCATGAAATAAACGCTCTCGCTCACCTGTTACAAGGAAAGAAAAATAGGAAACGAGATGAGTTCCTCTATCAACAAGAACAAAGAAAGAAAAACAAAGACTAAACTTCTGTCCCTCTCGACGAAGTTTTTCTTCCTGGGATTTACTCGCAGCTTCCGACTGCAAAAGAATGGACCAGCAAAGAATTAAACTCAAAAATCCCCAAAAAAACATATTTTCTGCTTACCTCGGCATTGATCGGGTAAAGAAAGAGCACGGCGAGCACAGGCGCCGGAACCATAGCCAGCAGATCGTCATCAAAGCCATAGACATCGTAGAAAGCAGCAGCTTCGCTCAATCCAAGGCTGTGGCAAAACTGCAAGAGAGGAAAATCAAAACCAAAATTTCTTGAGCTGCCGCAATCGCGCCGATCCCGATCGAATCGAGAAAAATGCAATGCGCGTCTCACCTGATTCATGATGTCGGGATTGGCCTCGAGCGGCAGCCATCGCTTGGCCACGGGAGCTTCGTCAGCCATCTAAAAGCCCTAATTGGGTTTCTCTTTTCTTCCAAATGATTTTTAGGGCTCTTGAGTCTCAGTAGCTAGGGTTTTTTCCTAAGCCGTGCCGGCGTGAGGCGACGGCGTGTCTTTCTACTGCTATTTGCTGCTGCTCGCTGCGCAAAATTATAGGCGCGCGAGCGTCGACCGGTGGAGCGCGCAATGGGAACGTCATTGCCTCCCAAGGAGGCAAATCTCTTCAAGCTCATTGTCGTAAGTGGAAGAAATTCTCTGGGAGGTTTAGGGTTTAAGCGATTTTCTCTTCCTCTATCCAGAAATCCTATGAGACGAAGCAGTACAAGAAAGGCCTCAAGGCAGCTGACCAGATTCTCAAAAAATTTCCGGAGCATGGAGGTAGAGTTTCTTCTCTGCGAGTTTTAGTATCTAATTTTTTTCTTCTTTGTTATGCTCTCAAAACAGAGACTTTGGCGATGAAAGGATTGACGCTAAATTGTATGGATCGAAAGACCGAGGCTTACGAGCTGGTTCGCAAAGGATTGAAGGTACTGTTTTTCTGTAATCTGATATATACATGATATAGAACAATGTTTGGTATCAGAACGATGTGAAGAGCCATGTTTGCTGGCATGTCTATGGCCTTCTCTACCGCTCCGACAGGGAATACCGCGAAGCTATAAAATGCTACCGCAATGCGCTTAGAATAGATCCGGAGAACAAGCCCATTCAGATACTCAGGGATCTGTCTCTGCTGCAAGTAAGTAGTGTAGAGGCTTTGCCTCAAGACAGTTTTGTTACAATTGTTCTGTGCCAGGTGCAAATGAGGGACCTCGACGGCTTTGTGGAAACAAGGAGGCAGCTGCTAACTTTAAAGCCTAACCATCGGAACAACTGGATATGTTTCGCCATTGCGCAGCATTTAAACAGCCGGTAATATTCTGTAGTCTGTACTGATTGGAATACGGTGCTCATATTGTAATCGTGCTAGAGCCGATATTGCTGTCGAGATTCTTCAGGCTTATGAAGGGACGCTTGAAGAAGATTTTCCTCCGGATAACGAGCGTTATGAGCATAGCGAAATGCTTTTGTACAAGGTGCGTTTTTATGGACACGAATGGAAACTAATGCCGCCTCTACCAGGTGTCTCTTTTGGAAGAATCAGGAGCATTAGAAAAAGCGTTGGAAGAGTTGAGAAATAAGCAGGCTAAAATTGTGTGTAATCGGTTTTGTGATTGATCACTCATTTATTGCTCTCATTTTCAGGTTGATAAGCTTGGCGTAAAGGAGGTGACGGCTGGTTTGTTATTGAAGCTGAATCGTTTTGAAGAAGCCGAGAAAGGGTACAGGAACTTGATTGAAATCTGTCCTGACAATACTACGTAAGCTAGTCGATACATTTGCTATCCACTGACTCCTCAATACTCGTGTCAATGCAGGTACCACGAAAGCCTGCAAAAATGTATTGGCATATCGCAACATGATGCGCGGACGGAGGAGGACACTGCGAAGCTCGTTCTGCTCTACGACGATCTTAGGACAAAGCATCCAGATTCTGCTGTTGCCAAGGTACTGCCTAACCTTTTTTCAATTTTACTAGCTAGCTTGTTTTGTTTTCAAGGGGTTGATGTTCCTAACTATCCCCCTTTCAATCTAAGAACATGAACATTAAATGACAGGTTGGTTGCTTGTGCTGGGAAATTTTGTCTTCAGCGCATGCCATTGGATTTTTTGGAGGGAGATTCGTTCCGCAGAGCACTAGACAAGTATATTAGACCATTTCTAAGAAAGGTATGATTCCTGCCGTAGTGAAATCATAAATGTTTTACAATCGTGATTCAGGGAGTACCATCGCTATTTTCAGCACTGCGTCCTCTTTATTCTTCTTCAAGCCGGGTAAATATTTGCTTGCCTCTTGCTTCGATCTAAATAGTGTTTCTGCAACAGGCAATCATTCTAGAGGAGGTCATTTTGGAGTTTGAAGATTCTTTGAGAAAAACTGGATGTTTTCCCTCGAGGTACCAAACTATTTTCTCTGCGTTTGGGTTTTAACGTTTTCTTTGTAGCACTGAGAAAGAACCTCCGTCTGCTTTCATGTGGATACTTTATCTGTTGGCGCAGGTTTGTACTTTAGCAGGTAGAAGCATTTCTGATGCGAGTTGTTGCAGCATTTTGACCGTAAAAGGGACGTTGAACGCGCCGTGGAGAAGATAGACGAGGCGATCAAGCATACGCCTACGGCAATTGACTTATATCTTGTGAAGGTATGGAAGGTACAGTTGAAGCGCTCTCACCGGGTCTCTTCTTGCAGGGAAGGATATTAAAGCATGCCGGTGATCCCGTTGCTGCGGCATCCTTAGCTGACGAGGCAAGGACAATGGACCTTGCTGACAGATTTGTAAATAGCGAATGCGTGAAGCGCATGTTGCAAGCCGACCAGGTTGAACTTGCCGAGAAAACTGCCGCGCTCTTCACCAAGGATGGCGATCAACACAACAATCTGTATGACATGCAGTGCATGTGGTAAGTATTTGTTTTGTGTTTCAGATGCTCTAAAAGTCCTCGCCTTAGGTACGAGCTGGCATCCGGAGACAGTCATTTTCGACAAGGAGCTTTAGGCAAAGCTTTGAAAAAGTTTGTGGCCGTGGAGAAGCATTACAATGATATGACGGAGGACCAGTTTGACTTCCACACGTACTGTCTTCGTAAAATGACTTTGCGCGCATACGTTCATATGCTGAGATTTCAAGACCGTCTGCACTCGTTTCCCTTTTTCTACCGAGCTGCTTGCAGCGCCATCAGGTCCGTTTTGGTTCAGTGATGACTCCATATTGACATTCTTGATTCAGGTGCTATTTATGTATATATGATTCGCCACCAAAGACCGCGGTGGAGGAAGAAGAAGCAGTCAATGCTGGATTGACTCCTTCAGAACGGAAGAAGCTGCGTCAAAAGAGCAGAAAAGCAGAAGCTCGAGCTAAAAAGGTCGGTTTTATCCATATGACACATTCGGTTACAAGTGTCCTCTGTTATTAGGAAGCAGAGAAGGCCAAGGAGGAAGAGAAGGCGTCGAATGCCAGCAAAGGTGCAAAGAAAGGAACCCAGGCGCCGAAACCTTTTGATAACGATCCCGACGGCGAGCAGCTTGTTCATGTAAGTACTTTTACTGGCTTTCAGCTGTGTGCTGAACTGGATTTCAGGTGGAAGATCCCCTGGGCGAGGCATTGAAGTATTTGAAACTCTTGCAAATGCACTCACCGGACTCGCTTGAAACACATCTTCTTGCTTTTGAGATTTACATGCGTCGGCAAAAAGTTCTCCTGGCATTCCAGGTTGGTTTGTGCAAACATTTTTCATCCTGGCTTAAACTGTCCCACAGGCTATCAAGAGGCTCATCAGAGTGAACAGTGACCATCCTGACATTCATCACTGCCTGGTATTTCTTTCTCTTGTTGTTCTCGGAACAAATGTTTGAAGAATTGTCTGCAGTGTCGTTTTTATAACATGGTGGACAACAAGCCAGAACCTGATTCTACGGACAAGCTTGTTTGGGAAGTGGTCGCTGCGGAGCGATCTTTGCTAAGGTCTTGGTTTTTCAATGTCTAAAGCAAACTCATTGTCGCTTCTTTTGCTTGGCAGGGATTTTGGGGACAGAACTCTGTTAGAGATAAATAAGGACTTCTTGGACTGTCATACTGGTACGATCATTATTCCATCTCCTATGAGCTTTCCTAATGCCTTCTATCATTTTTTAGATTCGCTGCTACATAGAGTCGTCGCGGCCGAGGTCCTCCAACTACTATCTCCTGGCGAAAAAGATGCCTCCGTAAAAATTGTTTTGGATTCAAGGTATGTGGTAACTGCAGAGGATTCTCGTATCAAAGATTTCGTTTTTGCAGTGGCGAAGAGAAATGGGAGCTCAAGCAATGCATGACGGTGCACAAGAAGCTACAATCAGTGCTTGATGATCCAGATGCCGCTGAGAGTAGGCCTCGAAATTTGGTTTTGGATTCGTTATGACTTAAGTGTTATTCTTTCTGAACAGGATGGCGCGCTCGCTGCGCGCAGCTCTTTCCTTACTCGACATACTTCAAAGGATTGAAGTCTTCTTCCATGACTGGCTCGGTGGAATCGGGTACAGTGGCGGTAGATAGAGGGATTGATACCCACGACGCGGTGAATTCAACATCTTGAGCTTAGCAAGGGTGGTCTCAACACTAATTTTTGATTTTTCCGATGAAATAATAGGAGCAGCACCTAGCAAGAAGACAACAGACGTATTTTTGTTCCGGGTACAACTTTTTGTTTGTTACATGCATTGGCAATCAATTTTTCCTTTGTCTCGTTAAGATCATGATTCTTGTTTCATGAGTCCCCTTCTCGTGTTTTAGTTTGTTCTTGAAAACTTGAAGCAAAACCCTGCTGGATGAATCAAAGCGTCAAATGAATCACGATCAGACTTCCCGGATGCAAACTTTCAAGGGACCAATTTGTTTATCCATTTTAACTCTCGCGCTATACCAAGTTTCCATTGAAATAAAGAAACAACAAACAGAGAAGTTGAATACACTACTAAAGAAATCAAATGAAAACAAACAAACTCAAACGACAAGTCACTGTCTTCATCTGCATCACTCCCTTCTTCAATCCCTGAAAACATCTCCAGCTGGGCCTGTAGAGCCTTGCAATGCCAGCAAACTCTTGCTCGAAAACCTCAAACTTCCGGAAGTAGTGGCCAGCCGAAAGCTTTTGGAAAGCCTCGCCAACACCCAAGCATCGTCTTCGTCCGGGCTGTAACGGCTGCAGCGGTCGAAGTCCATTATCTCCACATCGTAGAAATCCGCAGAAGAAAAAGGAAAGAAAGCTTCGTCAATTGTTTCGAAATGATACTTTTTTTGTCACCTTTATTTTTTGAAAAGAAACGGTTTATGTTTATTTATCCATAAGCTTCTGGAACCTTTGATTCTTATTAGGCCTAATTCTGCTTCTTTCAAATAAGTTAGAAACCCTACCAGGATGGAGGTTTTTAAGAAGGAAGGATTTAGCGGCATGGGTGCTTTGGGCAGTCCATCTGATTATTTCACTGACTGCAATCAAAAGCTTATCAAGTTTCGCATGTGTGCGATCCCAGTGGATAGGGAATCAAGAGCTACCAGGTTTGCAAGTGCCGTGAAATGTATGCTACAACACCCTTTTAAAGGAGCCCCAATGCTAGTCTTTTGTAACGACAAGGATACCGCATATGAAATCAAACAGGTTTTGGATGCCAAGAGAGTGACAATGGCAACAGTAACTTTAGTGGAGGAATTGAGCACTTTGGAGAAAAAGAGGGTCAAAGACAAGAGAGCGGTGGTTATTGTCACAAAAGATGTGATTGACAAGGTCTGTTTGCCTGGAATTTTTAAGGTGGTGGTGACCTATGATAAACTGAGCGCATCAAATCTGGAGACTTTATTGAGTTGGACAAGATTTGATACTCGATTTCTTCCTGGTTTCTGGCCTTGTGTGGTTACTCTATATCAGAACGAGGAGTTTTTGGAAAGCATCAAGCAGTTAGCACATTGTGTCTGCATGACTAAATTGTACGAGAGAGAGCGGACAATGCAGAAATTCAGTGATGCATATGCGGATTTCTTGTTTAGTCCGAAAGCATAGGTCGTTTCTGCATTTTGCTAACTTCTATTCGGTTCTAGTCACAAGAAAGTTGAATAAGTTTCATTTTCTGGTTTAGTAATCATATGCTTCTCAAGAAAAGGTGGTGGGAACTAAATTTTATGTTTTCGCATTTTCTTGAGGAAATTTGAACCCATCAAAATGACAGTTTCATGGTTTGGCACGAAATCAATGCCTCGTGTTCTGGCTGCCGTCGAATTTATACCATTTCTGTGATAATTGGATAGACTGCGTCTAACGACCATGTCAAGCATAACATGCTGGCTAAATAGTCAGAACCGAGTGACGCTGTAGCAATCTCGCTGGACTTGGTCTCCACTTCCTCCATCCTATAAATTCCAATCCACCACACAGCAGCAAGTTTTGAGAGAGAGAGAGAGAGAGAGAGAGAGAGAGAGAGAGATATCTCAGTACACTTCGAAAGTTTCTTCTACCAAGATGGCGAGCAAGTCCCAGCTGATGCTTCTGGCCATGTTTGTGACAGTCCTCCTGGTTGGAGTGGACGTTGGTGGCATCGCAAGCGCAGCAGCCCAGCAGAAATGCAAGTCTGGATGGAACTGGGACGGCCACAAGTGCATCCAGTGTCCCAAAGGCTGGTACTGGTATAGCAACGATTGCCACAGATGCCTCTCCGGTTGGAAGTGGAGTGGAAGCAAATGCGTGAGCTGCCCGAGCAACTGGTACTGGTACAACAACAAGTGCCACCAATGCCCGTCCGGATGGAAGTGGAGTGGAAGCAAGTGTGTGAGCTGCCCGAGTGACTGGTATTGGTATAACAACGATTGCCACCGCTGTCCGTATGGCTGGAAATGGAGCAAGGCTCACTGCACCAAGAACTAAGTCAGTTAACTCCAGCGAGAAAGAAGTACCTTCCAATTCGTTATTTCATTGCATCTTGTCCTCGAGATAATGTGCCAGCGTCTTTGGCAATTGATTTGATTCGAATAAAACCACCTACTTGTTTTGAATATCGAACCTGTCATCGTGCTGCAGCAGCAACCTCGGCAGCAAAGTCCTTTTCAAGCCTGGGAAAGTGAAGCCAGGAATTGGTTCGTGAAGGCTTGGATTGTAACAAGGACTTACTTTTCGATCCCCTCCCCGACTTCTATTCGCAGGAATCCCTCGATCTTGGCCGTCTTCCCGATTTCTTTGGCCGTCTCTTTTAGCAGGACCTGAAAGATCAAATCCTGAGGCTGATGAGACACATTCGAATGATGTGACTTACTTTGATCCGTTTCGTTTCGTCTGCAACGTACTTCTGCTCCAGAAGAACAACCTCTTCCATGTATTTGGCAAGCCTGCCTTCGACCATCTTCTGAACGACGTTCTCTGGCTTTCCAGCAGTCGAGGCCTGCAACAACAAAACAAAAAAACAATAGACAATCAATAAAAGGCAGAGAAAAACAAATGCCTTGCACCTGTGCTTTGCAGATGTTCCGCTCATGCTCCAGTACTTCAGAGTCCACGAGTTCCTTAGACAAAAACAGCGGCCTTGCAGCAACAACATGCATTGCAAGAGACGAGCCCAAGCTTTTCAGTGTTTCCGAATGCGAGCCTTCTTGATCATCTTCAACCTCGACCGAAACGAGCCCCGCGAGCCGAGATAAACCTTTCAGAATAAATCTGTGAGAAACGAGCAAACAGTGGAATTTACAAGTACCTGATGCCGGACTCATGTGCAAATACGAGGACACGATCCCTCTTTGCGAAGACATATAGAAAGCTCTTCGAAGTCTCACATTTTCTCCAGTGATAGCGGCAACTTCCGAGACTGCGTCGCGTACACAAAGCTCTCTGGTGATTGATGCGTGATCCAGCTTCACATTTACAAGCTGCAAATTTCCAAACATGAAAGATCTTTCCTTCGAGAGAACAGACTTACCTCTAAATCGTGCAAATCAAGAGCAGCTGGTTTAGAAGAAAATTGTTGGACGGCTTTCAATGTGGATGCCGCTTTTGCGACTGACAGCACCTGGAAAAATCGTGAGCAAAACTAAAAGATCATCCATCACTTACAAGGCTCTGGAAGAGATCGTTTCGAGCAACAAAGTCAGTCTCGCTGTTAATCTCTATGACCGCGGCACCTTTCTCGAAGTGTGCCAGTCCAAGCAATCCTTCCGCAGCCACACGAGAAGATTTCTTCGTCGCGGCAGCAAGGCCCTTCTTCCTCAGCTCAGTAAACGCATCCTCTATAGAAAAATCCAAAGAAAAAACAATTCTTCCTTCCTTTAACATTAGCATTATCTCCACATCGTAGAAATCCGCAGAAGAAAAAGGAAAGAAAGCTTCGTCAATTGTTTCGAAATGATACTTTTTTTGTCACCTTTATTTTTTGAAAAGAAACGGTTTATGTTTATTTATCCATAAGCTTCTGGAACCTTTGATTCTTATTAGGCCTAATTCTGCTTCTTTCAAATAAGTTAGAAACCCTACCAGGATGGAGGTTTTTAAGAAGGAAGGATTTAGTGGCATGGGTGCTTTGGGCAGTCCATCTGATTATTTCACTGACTGCAATCAAAAGCTTATCAAGTTTCGCATGTGTGCGATCCCAGTGGATAGGGAATCAAGAGCTACCAGGTTTGCAAGTGCCGTGAAATGTATGCTGCAACACCCTTTTAAAGGAGCCCCAATGCTAGTCTTTTGTAATGGCAAGGATACCGCATATGAAATCAAACAGGTTTTGGATGCCAAGAGAGTGACAATGGCAACAATAACTATAGTGGAGGAATTGAGCACTTTGGAGAAAAAGAGGGTCAAAGACAAGAGAGCGGTGGTTATTGTCACAAAAGATGTGATTGACAAAGTCTGTTTGCCTGGAATTTTTAAGGTGGTGGTGACCTATGATCTTGCTATAGTTGGTATCAGAGCAAATGGCACAGGTTCGATTCCCATTGATTAGTGGCTATCTAAAATATAATATACCTTTGAGCAATGTATATTTTTACTCCTAAATTTGAAAATCATACGTATTAGGCATCTATGCGTATGTCCTTCCTTTTGTGGAGCATCCTAGACGAAGGTATCCACAGTGGGATTACAGTACAGATGGATGATTAATTGCCTCACATGGAATAGTTAGTCTACACAATAGAGGGATTGGTAGATTTAGTGTAGAAATGGAAGTGTTAGTTCCCCTTGGCTCAGTAGGGGTTGTTAATTAACAATCAATGAGGACATTGACATCTCTGAAGGGGGGGGTGAGTGTAGCACATGTGATCATGAGATGAGATTTGGATATACTGTTACCGTGAATCCTTGGAACCTTGGGAGGGAGTTAAATGGGGATAAAATAGGCTTTCTCATCAAACTATTGTCCCTTTTTCAATTGGCTTAAAAGGAGAGAGATAAAGTTCGATAAACTGAATGCATCAAATCTGGAGACTTTATTGAGTTGGACAAGATTTGATACTCGATTTCTTCCTGGTTTCTAGCCTTGTGTGGTTACTCTATATCAGAATGAGGAGTTTTTGGAAAGCATCAAGCAGTTAACACATTGTGTCTGCATGACTAAATTGTACGAGAGAGAGCGGACAATGCAGAAATTCAGTGATGCATATGCGGATTTCTTGTTTAGTCAGAAAGCATAGATCGTTTCTGCATTTTGCTAACTTCTATTCGGTTCTAGTCACAAGAAAGTTGAATAAAGTTTCATTTTCTGGTTTAATAATCATATGCTTCTCAAGAAAAGGTGGTGGGAGCTAAATTTCATGTTTTCGCTTTTTCTTATTAAAGAGGAAAGTTGATCCTTTCAAAATGACTATTTCATGGTTTGGCACATAGAAATCAATGTCTCGTGTTCTGGCTGCCGTCGAATTTATACCATTTCTGTGATAATTGGATAGATTACGTCTAACGACTATGTCAAGCATAACATGCTGGCTAAATAGTCAGAACCGAGTGACGCTGTAGCAATCTCGCTGGACTTGGTCTCCACTTCCTCCATCCTATAAATTGCCTCCACTTCTAATCCACCACACAGCAGCAAGTTTTGCGAGAGAGAGAGAGAGAGAGAGAGATCTCAGTACACTTCGAAAGTTTCTTCTACCAAGATGGCGAGCAAGTCCCAGCTGATGCTTCTGGCCATGGTTGTGACAGTCCTCCTGGTTGGAGTGGACGTTGGTGGCATCGCAAGCGCAGCAGCCCAGCAGAAATGCAAATCTGGATGGAACTGGGACGGCCACAAGTGCATCCAGTGTCCCAAGGGCTGGTACTGGTATAGCAACGATTGCCACAGATGCCTCTCCGGTTGGAAGTGGAGTGGAAGCAAATGCGTGAGCTGCCCGAGCAACTGGTACTGGTACAACAACAAGTGCCACCAATGCCCGTCCGGATGGAAGTGGAGTGGAAGCAAGTGTGTGAGCTGCCCGAGTGACTGGTATTGGTATAACAACGATTGCCACCGCTGTCCGTATGGCTGGAAATGGAGCAAGGCTCACTGCACCAAGAACTAAGTCAGTTAACTCCAGCGAGAAAGAAGTACCTTCCAATTCGTTATTTCATTGCGTCTTGTCCTCGAGATAATGTGCCAGCGTCTTTGGCAATTGATTTGATTCGAATAAAACCACCTACTTGTTTTGAATATCCAACCTGTCATCGTGCTGCAGCAGCAACCTCGGCAGCAAAGTCCTTTTCAAGCCTGGGAAAGTGAAGCCAGGAATTGGTTCGTGAAGGCTTGGATTGTAACAAGGACTTACTTTTCGATCCCCTCCCCGACTTCTATTCGCAGGAATCCCTCGATCTTGGCCGTCTTCCCGATTTCCTTGGACGCCTCTTTTAGCAGGACCTGAAAGAGAGGCTGATGAGACACATTCGAAGGATGTGACTTACTTTGATCCGTTTCGTTTCGTCTGCAACGTACTTCTGCTCCAGAAGAACAACCTCTTCCATGTATTTGGCAAGCCTGCCTTCGACCATCTTCTGGACGACATTCTCTTGCTTTCCAGCAGTCGAGGCCTGCAACAACAAAACAAAAAAACAATAGACAATCAATAAAGGCACAGAAAAACAAATGCCTTGCACCTGTGCTTTGCAGATGTTCCGCTCATGCTCCAGTACTTCAGAGTCCACGAGTTCCTTAGACAAAAACAGCGGCCTTGCAGCAACAACATGCATTGCAAGAGACGAGCCCACGCTTTTCAGTGTTTCCGAATGCGAGCCTTCTTGATCATCTTCAACCTCGACCGAAACGAGCCCCGCGAGCCGAGATAAACCTTTCAGAATAAATCTGTGAGAAACGAGCAAACAGTGGAATTTACAAGTACCTGATGCCGGACTCATGTGCAAATACGAGGACACGATCCCTCTTTGCGAAGACATATAGAAAGCTCTTCGAAGTCTCACATTTTCTCCAGTGATAGCGGCAACTTCCGAGACTGCGTCGCGTACACGAAGCTCTCTGGTGATTGATGCGTGATCCAGCTTCACATTTACAAGCTGGAAATTTCCAAACATGAAAGATCTTTCCTTCGAGAGAACAGACTTACCTCTAAATCGTGCAAATCAAGAGCAGCTGGTTTAGAAGAAAATTGTTGGACAGCTTTCAATGTGGATGCCGCTTTTGCGACTGACAGCACCTGGAAAAATCGTGAGCAAAACTAAAAGATCATCCATCACTTACAAGGCTCTGGAAGAGATCGTTTCGAGCAACAAAGTCAGTCTCGCTGTTAATCTCTATGACCGCGGCACCTTTCTCGAAGTGTGCCAGTCCAAGCAATCCTTCCGCAGCCACACGAGAAGATTTCTTCGTCGCGGCAGCAAGGCCCTTCTTCCTCAGCTCAGTAAACGCATTCTCTATAGAAAAATCCAAAGAAAAAATAATTCTCCACAATCTCATCAAGAGCATACCTTCGTTCCATTCACATTTCACCAGCACCTCCTTGACATCCTTGATCGGCGCCCCGGTCCGCTCGCGCAGCGTCTTGATGAGATCGGTGCGCGAGGAAGCATCGACAGAGAAAGATTTCGCACCGATTGCAGTGATTCTAGGCAATCCACGCACCGATCGGCCCCTACAAATCGCCGTCGCCGCGCGCCATAGCGGAGCTCCTCTCGCCATTGCAAGGCACATTTTAGGGCTTGGACAAGAAAGAAAGAATTTGATGGGGTTTTAGAAAAAATTGCCATTGACGGGATTCGAACACTCGACGTATTGTTAAAGAGAATTTTGGCTCTTTTTTTTCCCATTTACCTTGTCAGCAATGAGCCCAGTAAAAGTCCCCGGTAACTCCGACCCATAGACATGGCCCATTTTCTCGCGCTTGGTTTCCAAGTAGCGCTTGTTCTCGTCAGTGATAGTGGAGATCACCGAAACGCGGCCAGTGATCGCCAAACCATAGCCTTTCAATCCCATATACTTTGCTGGATTGTTGGTCATGAGCTTCATCGTTCTAACACCCACGTCCCTTAGAATCTACAAAACGAAAGTTCGATCAGTCGCAAGGTTTTCGAGTGTTTGATCCATTACCTGTGCTCCAATTCCATACTCCCGCGAATCGACTGGAAGGCCGAGCTCTACGTTTGCTTCCACAGTGTCACGGCCCTCGTCCTGTAAGTTATATGCCCGTAGCTTGTGTCCCAGGCCGATTCCTCGTCCTTCGTGACCACGCAAGTAAACCAGCACTCCCCTCCCGGCTTTCTCGATTTGCATCATCGCGATCTCGAGCTGGTTGCCACAGTCGCATCGCTTGGAACCGAAAACGTCCCCGGTGAGGCACTCCGAGTGGACACGGACGAGGACATCCCGGCCGTTGCCAATGTCACCCTGGAAGATTTTTTAAGTCGAGTGTATGGAAAAGAGTGTTTTTTACCTTCACAATGGCAATGTGTTCGATGCCATCGAGCTTGGATTTGTAGCTGTACGCTTTGAAAAGCCCCCACCTTGTTGGAAGCCTCGAAATGGCTGTTCGCTCGACCAACTTCTCGCGTTTTCTCCGGTACCTACGAGCACAGCCTGCGTCTCAGAACGAAACATACGAAAAACAACAATGAGCTTCCAGTACCTGACCATGTCGGCAATGGAGATGATGTGTAAGTTATGCTTTTCCGCAAACACTTGTAGCTGTGGCAAACGTTGCATGCTTCCATCCTTCTCGTTCACCAGCTCACAGATCACTCCAACGGGTGGCATTCCAGAAAGCACAGCGAGATCAACCGCGGCTTCCGTGTGTCCTGCTCGCTTCAAAACTCCACCTTCTCTATAACGTAGAGGATAAACGTGTCCCGGTTTCTTAAAATCGCTCGCAGTGGCATTTGGCGACGCAAGCATTGAAATGGTTCTCGCACGGTCCTCGGATGACACACCCGTGGTTGTCCCTTGGCCATCCTGTAGCACAAAGAGTTTAAAACTAAGAATTCGAGCCAAAAGTGAAGAACAAAAAAAACTACTAACCACAGGAATCGTAAACGCTGTAGATAGTGCTTCCTCGTTCTCTTTGTCCGAAACCATCAACTTTACGTCCAATCGGTCCAGAATTTCACCCTTCATGGGGACGCAAATGATCCCAGTGCAATGGCTTCGCAGGAACTCGACCTTCTCGGGAGTCACCATGGAAGCCGCCATTATCAAGTCACCCTCGTTCTCTCGATCCTCGTCGTCCACAACAATGACCATCTACATGAGGAGTTCTTTAAGACGCACAAGAAGAAAAAAACAAGAAAGGAGGAAGGAAGGAAATTTTTTTCTAGCAAGCACCCATACCTTACCTTGCCTTGCTTGAAAGCCTCCAGCGCCTCGGCGACGGAGCTAAATCCCTCGGACGGACGATCGGGATCCCCCTCGATCTCGCTGCTCTCGAATTCCTCCTCTACAGGATCGAAATCCATCCTCACGCCGCCTACCTCGGCAGATCCACTGCCGGACGACGAATTCACCGCGCCATTCCCCTTCTCGCATCGCACAGCGAATGCTCCTCGCCTGATGCGCACGGCGGCAGCGTAGCCGATCCTTCGCGGCGATCTCGCAACCATTCGCACTGACACGCCGCCGCCATTGAGATTGAGCTGGATCGCGACGGGATTTCCATCCAAGCGCATCATCCTCATCGCGCCCTTTCTTCCCAGAAATATTTCTGGATAGAACAAAGAGCCCTAAAGTAGAGCACGCAGAATTAGAGTTTAAACCTTACACGGGTTTTAGACGTGGCATCCCGGCTGACGTGGCGGCTTATATTTGGGCCTAAGTTCCACGTCATGGTATTTTCCAGAAGATTCTGGAGCTAAAGCTATCAGGGTTTTGAGCCGATCGGTCGATCGACTGCGCTGTGAAATTTCCGGATTCGCGAGAGTAGTGTAGCGAGATTCGAGCTTCTAGGATCGAGAAAGGGGGAAAATCCTTGCTAGCGAGGAATCGATGGGGATAGATTACTACAGCGTGCTCAAGGTGGACAAGAATGCCACCGAGGATGATCTCAAGAAGGCCTACCGCAAGCTCGCCATGAAGTGGCATCCCGATAAGAATCCCAACAACAAGAAGGAGGCCGAGGCCAAATTCAAGCAAATCTCGGAAGCGTATGAGGTATGATCGATCCCTCTTTTTTCTCTCTTCTCGATCGGCTGTGGCTGATCGATCGATTTCTGTGATTCGCAGGTGCTGAGCGATCCCCAAAAGAGGACGATCTATGACCAGTATGGCGAGGAGGGTCTCAAGGGCCAAGTTCCTCCTCCCGGCGCCACGGGAGGGACGAATTTCGCGAATGGCGCGGGACCCAACGTGTTCGTGTTCAATCCTAGGAACGCCGAGGACATCTTTGCCGAGTTCTTCGGTGGATCCAGCCCGTTTGGGATGGGAGGTTTTGGGAGGAGCGCTAGCCGGTCGCCCTTTGGCGATGGAATGTTTGGGGGCTTTGGTGGAACCGAGAACGTTTTCAGATCCTTCGGCCAGGATGGTGGATCTCTGTCGACCGGTCCGAGGAAGGCTCCGGCGGTGGAGAACAAGCTCCCGTGCAGTCTCGAGGAGCTCTACACTGGCTCCACCAGGAAGATGAAGATCTCTCGCAACATCGCCGATCCCAGCGGGTAAGTTTCTTTGGAAAGTTAGAACCTTGCTAGAACTTCGCTAGAACTTCCTTAGAACTTTGCTAAACCTTGCTAGAACCTTGCTAGAACTTCGCTAGAACTTTGCTAGAACTTCGTTAGAACTTTGCCTAGAACGCTCTTATGGAGGATTCTAACGTGAGAGCTTCTTGTTTCTTTACAGGAAGACAATGCCTGTGGAGGAGTTTCTTACTATCGACGTGAAGCCGGGGTGGAAGAAAGGCACCAAGATCACTTTTCCAGAGAAGGGAAACGAGCAGCCAAACTTGATACCGGCGGACATCGTCTTCGTGATCGACGAGAAGCCACACGACGTTTTCAAGCGCGACGGCAACGACTTGGTGATGACACAGAAGGTGTCCCTGGCCGACGCTCTAACAGGAACGACGATCACAGTGAACACTCTCGACGGAAGAACGCTCACGATTCCCATCAACGACATCATCTCTCCCGGCTACGAGAAGATTGTTCCACGGGAAGGCATGCCGATCGCCAAGGAGCCAGGCAGGAAAGGAGACCTCAAGATCAAATTCGACGTCAAGTTTCCCACGCGACTCACTCCAGAGCAAAAGGCCGCCGTGAAGAGATACTTGACCACTGCGTGAAGAAGAGTTCCTGGCGAGCTCCAGCGGCAGTGGCATCGTAATTTTGTAAGTGTAAAGACGTCCTAAGAAGTACGTAAGTCTGTTCTTCGTTAAAAAAATTCCTTTGCTCGGTAAATTCAACTCTTTACTCGCAGATCTCTGTCTCTCCCTCTTTACTTGGAAGAGTTTGCAGTAGCGATCATCTGTAAGAACTCCGCTCTCTTCTTGCCATGGACGGCAAAATCGCCCATTGTCGCCAGCGTTCCTGTAGTGCTGCCGGTTTTCTTCACTCCTCGAGAGATCATACAGACGTGCCCAGCCTCGACGACGACCATGACGCCGCTAGCAGCAGTGGAGCTCATCACAGCGTCGGCGATTTGCCTCGTCAATCTCTCCTGGACTTGGAGCCGGCAGCTGTACAGCTTGACAATCTTCTCGAGGATGGCCCGACTAGCTCTGGGATGAGAGCTCGGGTGGTTTTTCGCTGGAAGAACTCCGACGTGAGCCACCCCAGAGAATGGAAGAAGGTGGTGCTCGCACTGGGAACAGAATGGAAGATCCAGCACAGCTACCATCGTCGCGTGGTGATCGCCATCCTGTTCTACTGCTGCTACTCCATTCCCTAGTATCAAGTCTCTAGAGAGCCGGCTCCCGTGCGTCGATGCTAGCAGCCAGCGAACGTAGCGAGAGGGCGTGAGCTTGAGCTCCTCCCGCGTTGGATCTTCGCCAAGAGCTCGCAGCAGCGTCACCACCGCCTCGACCATCGTCTCAAAGTTGGGGTGCGAAGAGGAGGATCTCTCAGCGGCGGCGTCACCGGCTAGTAGTGGACAGATCGCCGGCTTCTTCGTCACCGAGAGCTGCGAACTTCCACTCAGCTGGAGCATGGCAACGAACTCTTGCCAGTCTTCCGAGCCACGATCGTCGTCCTCGAAGCTGCCTTTCCTGGCGCAGACCGATCGTCGAATCCAGGAAGCCGGCTCCCTGCTGCTTCGAAGCTCTCGGGGACACTCGAGATGCCAAGTCTCTCCAACCACGGCCACCCCGAGAGGCTTGAATCCGTCCCAGAGAGCTCCGCCGATCTCGTTGGCGAGACGATCCGGGCTTTGGAGCCGAGCTGCGAAGATCTCCGCGACGCGGGGGAGCTTGCTGAGGCCGACGACGCGCTGCTCGGAGGGAATGTAAGCGATGTGACAGCAGAGCTTGAATGGTAAGAGGCAGGACTCGCAGGTGGAGAAGAGCTCGATGTTTCGGACCACCACCATTCCTCCGCAGCCGCCACCTTTGCCGTTTCCAGGGCCCGCTTCTGCAAAGAGAGCTCCACCGATGGTTTGCTCCGCCGAGAGTCCATAGCCTATGGTCCAAGTAAGAGAAGAAGTTTAGAAGAAAGCTTGAAACGTAGAAGCCTGTCCAACAGAGCTTAGAACTCTCTCCAAGCTCTAGAAAGAAAGAAGATTTCTAAGCTTGAAAACTTAGAACTCCATCCGACATGGAAAAAAGAGTTCTATACGAAAGTCTCGGCTCGCGAGATTTAAAAAAGAAAAGCTTTGTCATCTAGCACGAGAAGACCGACGCAAAGAACCAATCACTCAAGAGAAAGAAAGGAAGGGACTGTGATGCAAGCGCTACGCGATCGATATCTCGCCTTGGAAGAGAAATGCTAACCTTTAGTGGCAGAGAGGAAGGCATTGGCGACCCTGGACGGCGTCTTGATCAGTCCATTGCGCGAGAGATCCTCGCCCAGCCCCTGGAGCAGCGCGCGCACCGAGCTCACCAGCCGCGAATCGGCTACCAGATCGCCGTCGCCGTCGTCCACGAGACAATCCTCGTCGCTGGCTGCTGACCTATCGGAATCGCTGGCGCTGCTGGCGCTGCTCACAAACTCCGCGATCGGCAATGCCCCCATAGCCCGAACGATCGATCGCCCGATCGAGGAAAGAAGAAGAATAGATCGATCGATCGCCCGCGCCGACAAGAATGGCCTCCCCGCCGTAGAAGAGAGACAAAGGAATTCGAGTAGGACTCTTCCAGTCCACACAAAATCATACCTCGCACTTTAGGGTTTTTTCATCATGCCATGGGGCCAAGGCCGTACGGACGCCACCAACCGTACATTAACGCAATCCAAAATTAATTATTTTTATTATTAGATTTATTTTTGCGTTTTTATTAATAAAATTAACATGCGCATAAACCATATTCAACTCTCCCAAGAGCGTTTAAAGAGGAAGTTTCCTCCCATTTTTAATCTTGGAGATCGTTGCAATGTTGAGGGTGATTTTCCTGTTGGGCTTATTGGTTCTTTTGTCTCAGCATAATCTATGCAAAGGTCATGCTGAAGATGATCTTCACCCCGCTCTTGTCAATGCGAATGAGAGAAAGATCGACGTTTATGTTGGGCCGAGCAGCGATTTCAAGACGATCCAGGCCGCCATCGATGCTGTTCCACTGGAGAACAAGCGGCGCTACATAATCCATGTCGCCAGCGGAGTTTATCGGTAATCACTATAGCATTACTATCATTAATGCTTGTGTTCTCTTGCAGCGAGAGAGTCACGATTCCAGCAAGCAAGGATTTCATCACGCTCTTGGGCGACTTTGATGACAAGTTTGCGACGATTGTTGTGTCCGCTGGAAACGAGCCCACACTCTCAGTTCAGGCAAAATACTTTGTTGCGCAGTTCATCACATTCAAGGTACTTCCAAGTTCTTGTCTCTTCAACTTTTATTAATATGAAGTTTAGAACGATGCGCCATTTGTTTATGCTGGAGCCGTAGGAGAACAACAAAGCAACACCGTAGCCGTGCAAGTATCGGGTGACTTTGCGGCGTTTTACGACTGTTTCATCACTTCGAGCCAGCATACGCTCTCTGAAGACCGCGGCAGGCATTTTTACAAGAGGACCTTCATCCAAGGCAGTATAAACTTCATCACTGGACAAGGAAGGTCATTATTCCAGGTAAATATGAAACTGAAGAAGAATTGTTTCGTCCGTGACGCTTATATGATCAATTCTTTGAGTGCACAGGAGTGTAATATCGTCTCCAACTCGAGGAACAACACTGGAGGGATTACTCTTCAGTCTAAGCCAGAGGGATCATGGGGTTACTCGTTCGTCAACAGCTACTTTGGAGGAACTGGGCAACTGTCTTTCGGCCACCCTTGGAAAGATTTTGCCCGCGTTGTGCTTATCAGTAGCTATTTTGACGAAGTTGTAACTCCAAACAACTGGGACAGATGGCCATACAACAATGGCAATGGGTATGAATCTAGATATTGGCTCGAAGTAGGCATGTAATCGTTTTTTTGTGTGATTTCCAGGAACGTTTTGTTTGCTGAGTACGATAGTCAGGGTCCAGGGGCTGTCCCCACGAAGCTTGCCAATTGGGTGAAACACTTGAGCGAAGAAGAGGCTCAGGACTACAGCAGTATTGCGTTTGTGGATGGGGAAGAATGGCTGTTCTTGGAAGTCTAAACTTATAATTTTCACTAACAATTTTCACTAACAAGCTAAACATGTCTAAATTCCAACTTCATAATATAAGCAAGATCTAACCGCAGCTTCCAACTTGCATGGCGTTTGAAGTTTCTCATTTCCTAATGATATGTATGCTTTTGTTTTGAGATTATCCATGTCCAAGTGCAACAAAAAGTGTCCCACTTATCCACTTATGGGAATTGAATCCGCTCCAAATCCGGATGGACACAGCACTATGACAAGTAATTTTTAAGAAAGGCATGGTTTGTAATTAGGAGCGGATTACATAAAAAATCCGGGTAAGTTTAGCTGCCTCTTGATTTCATCCAAAGTAGCATTTCTCAGCATTTTGTCATACCTCATTTATATGGAAAGTAAAATTATAATTAAATGCCATATATTCAAAACTCTATAAGCCAATTACTACTGTAAAAAGCACTTAATATTCTAATTTTTCTTCTAGTTCGATTTAAAACATTATTAAGAGTAATTCTTATATTATCTCTATCTTCATAATTTCTTGATTAAGGATAAAATAATTAATATTAATATTAAATAATGTTAATGTAATAATTTTTTTGTTTTATATTATTATTTTCATACTCCATTACAACTGCTTATTGATCTCTTGGAGTTTTACTAGATAGTATATTTCTAAGTTTTTGTGAAAGCTGAATTATAATAATTACAATTTCATTTTGTATAAGTGTGTTTTTTCCTCTATACTCTAAAGTATAATTATCAGGAGTAACAAAATATAAAAAATTAAGAAAATTTCATAATAAAATTTTAAGTTTACAAGAAAATTAAGTGTTATGTATACAATATATCTAAATTACAAAATGACAAATTAATAAAAATAGAAAAGGATAAAATACTCAAGATAAACTTTTTTATTTTAATTTTATTATATTTTATCAAATGAACATTATATAGTCAGCTTCAAAAATATTTTTAGATTATCTATCTAGGAGATTGTAGTAAGAGATCAGAACCTAAAGGAATCTAAAATGAGGGGAATGTGGCAAAACATGAAAAAAAATGAAAAGTCTAAGATGGTGGGCATCATTATAACACAAGAATCTCAAACTTGGTGAAAAAAAAATTGGCTTGCAATCAGGCATTGACACCCAATAAAAATAGCCAATAGAAGAGGCTCGCCATCTTCTTGTTTGCAATCAAATATAGGAACATAGTGATCCCATTGAGAGGTCTTGATGAAGTCTTCAACTTAGAACAGCCTAGCAAAATCTATGTGCAAGAAAAAGCTCGCCACCTTCTTTGGCGAGCTGGCTGGTAGAATCTTTGTGTGGATGATTATAAACATGCGTAAGAGATGGTGGAGCATGGAGGGGAGTTAGAGGCCCAATATCACAGTTCTTGGAACTATTTGACCATTCCAACTTCATATCCTTATTATAATATAGTAAGAAAGTTTCCAACAGCAGCTTCCAACCTGCATGGCGTCTGAAGATTCCACAGGCCGTTTACACACGTACTAGTTCTTGACTATATCAAGAGCAACAAAGTGTACGTGGTAAGAAGTCAAAGCCGAGTGAAGACGATTATTTAGACTTCGTCCCTTCCAACATCTCGGTGCTATAAATTCCCCAAACCACACCCTGATCTTTAAGAAGCTAAAGAAGTTGGAGAGATCTAGATCATAGTTTATAATCTGATATCACAATTCTGAGATCAATCATCATGGCAAGCAAGTCCCAGCTGATACTCTTGGCGATGTTTGTGACACTCCTCCTAGTGGGAGTGGACGCCCAGCAGCGATGCAAATCCGGATGGAACTGGGATGGTGAGAAGTGTATCCAGTGCCCGAAAGACTGGTACTGGTATGGCAACGGTTGCCACCAATGCCTCTCCGGATGGAAGTGGAGTGGAAGCAAATGCGTGAGTTGCCCAAGCAGCTGGTACTGGTATAGAAATGGCTGCCATCGCTGCCCTCCTGGTTTGAGCTGGAGTGGTGGTGGAAGCCGCTGCATTAGGATGTGATCACACAACACTGCTGTAATATGAATTCACCACGGCATTTGCAGGAATAAAGATTTTCTGTAATAAACCTGGAGTTTGAAGGAAAACTGTGGCATTTGCAGGAATAAAAGCTCTTGCAGCTTCGATTGTAGCATTCCCATTAGCCGTGTTGAGGAAGAAATCCACCTGCAATTAGAGTTTTTGAGAGGTGGCTTTTCTTGGTTTGATCGGTTTGGAGATGTTAACTTAGCCCCCCTTATTTTGACTCAAAGTTTGCAACCTTTGTAGTTTCTCCGTAATTTCTTGTTGCATAGACTATGAAGGGACTGTCCAAGAGAGACTGGTGGGCGGCGAGGACATTTGAACGCAAGGACTATTGACTTCGTATTGGATGCTACGCCAAAAGATCTGATGGCTCTTGTCGTAGACATCCCCATGCATTGTCCATTATGCTTGGCTGCATGTACTCAACTTCATATGGTGGAGGATTATTCGTCTCAAGCTCGAAGGAGACGGCTGTAAAGCTCAGCTTACACATTTAGCATGAACCTTGGAATTTTTCACATGGTGTAGAAATTGTCTCTTTGTTCAATTTTTTGCAGTTAAGAGCTTAAAATAAGTAGAAGTTGAGAAGATTCCAAAAGAATGTCCGAATATTCCAAAAGAATCTGATCTGGAAGGTGGGAAAAAGTTGGTTAGGGCAGTGGAAGAGACGGAGCACGAGTGGAGTGCAGAGCCAGAGCTTGAGGATGTGCAAAGGAGCAGACATGGTTATGGGGTGGCTGTGAGTGAGGTGTCCTGAGCAGGTTTGGCTTGCGAGCAATCAGAGAATACGCACTGCATTGTGGATAGGCATGACTATGCCTCTTAGCTGATGTATTGGCAGAGTTTCTTATGAACCAAGAGCAATTTATTTCTCCATTGTAGTTTCAGAAGTGTTGATTTAGGATTAACTTGTGTGTGCTTGTAATAGTTGTCATTTTGATGACAACTACTACACAAATCCCAAGTCAACACTTCTGGAACTACAATGGAGAAAGAAATTGCTATTAGTTCATAAGCAACTCTGCCAATACATCAAGTAAGATGTGTAGCCACTTCTGTCCACAATGTGGGCAGATAGTGTGTATTCTCTGATTGCTTGCAAGCCAGATTTACTCCACGTGACACCTCACTCACATCCTCTGTGTGACCCTCGCTCTACTTAGCCGTGCTCCACTGGATCTCTTCGCGCAGATTCTTTTAGAATATTCAAATATTCTTTTAAAATCTTCTCAACTTCTCATAAAGCTCTTAACTGCAAAAAATTGAAAAAAGAGTGTTGCAAGTTCTCCTCCCAACCTGAGGCTGCTCTGATCACTTGTGCATGATGTTTTGAGCTTGCCTATAGCAAGCACACCAAGCCATTCCTGAGCCATGTGTGACCCATCATTTAGAAGTTGTGTGTCATGGATTAGTCATGATGCTCATGTGAGAAGTTTATCCAATAAATATTTGACACATGGACATGAAATTTACATCAAAGTTACATTTTTTACAAATTGCATGCCATAAGTCAGTCAGGAATTGGCGGCATTGATAGTGAGTGTTCTCACAACTTCATCTCAAGAGCAATGCTGCAGTGGCTGGGCTTGATGACTAAGGAACCATTGGACGTCATGGTGGCAGATATAGCTCTTGTTCTTGTTCTTCCAAATCTTGCAAAGTCATTCATAGTGATGACAGATGCAAGTGATGGTAGAATCAGTGCTGTGCTCTTGCAAGACAATCATATAATTGTTTTTGAAAGCCATAAATTTTCAAGTGTTGAATCTCATTACTCAGTTTATGATAAAGAATTTATTGCCATGATTTATGCTTTGCAAAAGTGGAAACACATTCTCTGGGGGGTGGATTTTGAAGTGCATACTGATCATCATGTGTTACAACATTACCTCACTCAACCAATTATGGATAAGTGACAGGCTTGCTGGTTGGCCTTTCTCACTAATTTTCATTTTAAGATCATTCATATTCTTGCCAATAAGAATTTAGTGGCTGATGCACTAAGTTGGAGGGCACACATTAACGCTATTTCAGTGGTTCTCACTTTTCCACATAAGCATATGACTGATTTTTATTTTAAGCCTATTTATGAAAGTTTTAGAAGGAAATCAGGACTATACATTTACGTGAAGCTCATGAGAAGCTATATGTCACTCACCCTGGTTTTCCTAAAATTTATGAAAGGGTAGACGGATGCTTATTTTTGTGCAAGGGTGTTTAATTTGCCATATAGTGGTACAAAAAAGTGGTAAATAGCGTTGATACACAATGCCCTACTGGTTTACTACATCCTTTAGAATGGATTTTATTACCATGAAGTCAACGCAAGAATGATGCAGTTCTTGTGATCGTTGACCGGCTCACACAGCTTGCTTATTTTCTACTGCCCCAGTATATGATAATCTTCTCATGCAAAAGGGCAACCTCCCGCATAGCTGCATAGCATCTTCAAGAGTCCTATTTATCTCTTCAGTTTGGCCATCCGTTTTTGGGTGCGAAGAACTAAACCTCAAATCCATTCTCAGAATCTCAAAGAGACTCGTCCAAAAATTACTTGTAAGCTTAGGATCTCGGAAACAATCGACTTTAGAAGACTATGAATCTTAAAAACATTCTTAATAAAAAGATGAGCCACTTAGTAGACAAGGATTCGGAACCACTTTTGTGGATGGTCGAATTAAGCAGCCTCTGGAGAGACGCACTAAATGCCACGTGGGACACCACGTGGATAACTTATGGATCCTTGGGCGACTGGCTTGCTTTGCTTGCCACCACTATGAGAATTGAAACCTTTGATCTTTTCCAAGAGTCAAATGGTCAACTCTAAGTCCAAAATGCTTCTTCCGCTGCAAGAGGGGAGGGGCATTGCCATCGACGCAGAGGAGTTTGGGGCTCTTGTGTCAAGATGTGGCAGATCCAATGCCCTGGAAGCAGGCAAGCGCTTGCACGCTCTGATCGCGCAGCTGCGATTCCATGGCCGACATTCGCCTACCAGGATCGGTAATCTTCTCGTGGACATGTATGGCAAATGCGGCAGCGCGCACGACGCGCGCACAGCATTTGATGCCATCGCCGACAAGAACGTCTTCTCTTGGGGCTTCTTGATCGCGGCCTATGCTAGCACGGATGAGAGATTTAAGGTTCTTGGGGAGATGTGCTTGGAGGGAGTGAAACCGGACAAGGTGGTGTTCCTTAGACTGGTGAGGTCTTGCTTGACGCTGGAGCATGGCAACCTTGTTCGATCGCTCCTCGAGGAGTGTGGGCTTAGCAGGGATTTGCAGATTGCCACAGAGCTTTTGAGGATGTATGGATCACTGCAGGAAGGCCGAATGGCTAGAAATGTTTTTGAGAGTCTTGGACAGAAAGATCTGGTGGCCTGGAACGCGATGATCGATGCTCATGCCCAGTGCGGGCAATGCAAAGAGGCATTTGCAATTTACGAGAGGATGCCTTTGCAAGCGGACAAAGTCACCTACACGACGCTTCTTTCATGCTGTGACGATCTGGGCGATGGAGAAGAGATACATGCTTGTGCAGTGAGTGATGGGATCGAATGGGACGTTGCCATGTCCACTGCATTGGTGCGTTGCTACGGTCGCTGCGGAAATCCAGAGAAAGCAGTGGCTGTGTTTGAGAATTTCTCAGGGAACAAGGACGTGGGGATGTGGACTGCGATGATCCTCTGCCTCTCTCAGAACCAAAAGATCACGGAAGCAATTCAAGTTTTCCGAGAGATGGAACAGCAAGGTTTCCGAGCAAGCAGCTTTACGTTGGTTGCTCTCCTTCAGGGATTGTCGAGCTCTTCGAAGTCTGGGTTTAGCACAGGCATGATAAACACGATCAGCTCGAGAGCCATGGAGTATCTGTGTTCTACTGGAGGAGATGTTTCGACCAGGGACGATCTAGTTGTTGCTACAGCACTGGTGAAATGCTTTGGAAGTCACGCGAGAATCAATGAAGCTGAGGAGGTGTTTGAGAGATTTCGACTCTGTAGATTCGACTTGGTGCTCTGGAATGCCATGGTATGGGCTTATGCCGAGACCAGCCATCCTGAAGAAGCTCTGTTCGTGCTGAAAAAGATGGATCTGGAAGGTGGTAAGGCTGATACGTTCACGTTGGCGACTGTTTTAACTGCGTGTGCTACCAGTTGCGAGCATGCATTGCTACAAACGAGCTTTCTTCATGATCGAGCGACCAGTTTGGGGCTTGGATCCGATCCAGTCGTGGTAGCAGCACTTATCAACTCGTACTCCAAGTCCCAGAGGCTCGGCCTTGCGAGGAGCGCTTTCGAAGGACTACCGACAGACAAACGAGATGCAGTGGTGTGGAGCTCCATGATCATGGGATATGCAAGATCAGGCCACATCCAAGACGCTCTGGAGATCTTCTCCAAGATGGATCATCCGGACAAGATCACAATCGCGCAGGTGCTGGATGCCTACGCGGACCTGGCATGCCTCAGCCAGTGCAAGGCCGCTCATCGGGATTTCGTGTCGCCAAACCAAGAGCTCGAGTCGGAGACAATGGTGGCGAACGCTCTTGTACACATGTACGCGAAGTGTGGGAGCCTGGACGAGGCCAGGAGAGTTTTCGACAGGATGAGTTTGCAGTCCAGGAACATCGTCTCGTGGACTGCCATGATCTCGGCTTACGCCCAGCACGGCCGGAGCTCCGAGTCGATGGAACTGTTCCAGAGGATGCAGCAGCGAGGAGTGGAGCCGAATCAAGTGACTTTCATCAGTATCTTGAGCTCTTGCAGCCACTCGGGCTTGATCGATCATGCAGCGTACTGTTTCTACAGCATGGAGCAAGATCACAGCTTGGTGGCGTCCCAGAGTCATCTGGTTCATATGGTTGATCTTCTCGGACGGGCTGGGATGCTCAAGCACGCACAAGAGATTGGGGAGTCTAGCTCTTCTCGCAAAAGCGAGGAATTGCTTCCGTGCGCGATGGTGGAGAGCTTGCTTGGAGGATGCTACACGCAAGGAGACCGAGAGATGGCCTCCAAGATTGTGGGAAGAGCGCTAGAATCTCCCTCGGCGTACGTTAAATATTCCAACATTCGTCAGGTCCAGGTATCTTGAAACCGTGCTGGCCTCGAGCGTTAGTCGTCCACACCTTTTTACATACATCTGGAGAAGCAAGTTCCCCAACAAACCATTCCAATCAAATCCGCCCAAAGAGATTTGCTCGTGGATCCTGAAAGAGCGCTTGGAGGAGACGATCCAGAAGTCCAGAACATCTCAGCTGTCACTATGGCGAATGATTGGAGCGCGGTGGAGTGGACCAAGTCGTCCGGCTCCAGCATTCGATGGAAGAATTCGATGAAACCTTGCGTCCAGGAGCACGGACATTGCGATCGATGCGGTGGAGTTTGGGGCCCTTGTGTCGAAATGTGGGACGCATGCAAGCGCGGCTGCAATTCCATGGCCGCCACTCGCCCACCAGTATCGGCAATCCTCTGGTGGACATGTATGGCAAGCGCACGACAAGCGCGGGGCATTCGATGCCATCGCCGACAAAAACGTCTTCTCTTGGGGCTTCAAGATTGCGGCCCATCCTTGCAGCGAGGAGGTGGATGAAGCCGGACACAAGGTAGCGTTCGTTAGCCTGGTGTAACGCTGGAGGAGTGGCCTTTCAGGGATTTCGCCACATAGATTGCGAGGAAGTATGGATCGCTGCAGGAAGGTTGACTGGCTGGAAAAAATTACAGAAAGATCTGGTGGCGATGATCGATGCTTATGCCCAGTGAATTTGCAAGTTTGCCTGCGCGTGGGATCGATTGGGACGTCGCTATGTCCACAGCACAGGTGAAAAGCTTTGGGAGTCGCGGGAGGATCAATGAAGCGGGCTATGCCGAAGAAGCTGCTCAAAAAGGAAGGCTGATAAGTTGTGGAGTAGATAAAAGCACGACTGGATCGGATCTAAGCCCCTGCTCGATCGTCAAGAAAGCTCAATAGCTATAGCAAATGCATGCTCGCAACCGCTCGCAACTGGTAGCACACAATTGGAACATCCAAGACGCTGGGCCACATCCAAGACGCTATGGAGATCTTCTCCAAGATCGATCATCCGGACAAGATCATAATCGCCCAGGTGCTATGCGAATCTGGCACGCCTCAGCCAGTGTAAGGCCGCTCATCGGGATTTCATGTTGCCAAACCAAGAGCTCGAGTTGGAGACAATGGTGGTCAACGCTCTTGTACAGGAAAGTTTTCGACAGGATGAGCTTCACCGTGTGCAATGGTGCAGAGCTTGCTATTGGAGGATGCTACAAGACCGAGAAATTCCAAGGTTGTGGGAAGAGCACTAGATTTGCTAGTTACGATGGTGAATTTGCTTGTGGCAACGGTAACTGCCAAACTCATGAATGCACGCAACAAACCCTACTCTTTGCTGTGAAATTTGTTTCTTTTAAGAACTTGTGAGACTGCTTTTAAGTATGTTTTACGAAAACATGGCACCAGTTGAGAGATACAATTGCAATTGCTTGTGCTGCATGGAGCTCCTTGCAACTCAATGTTAACAATAGAAACAATAAGTTTTAGGGGCAAGATGCTTACCAATCTTGACACAGTGTAAGATCACATCACGTTCTCCCTGGGCTTGGAGATGTTCTTCAACACATGGAAGTAAGTTTTGCAAACTTTCAAGAACCTACAGGTATTTATTTCTTGCCAGTTTAATTTTTCTTCACTCACTTCAATGTAGGTTAAGTAGGAATGAAAAAAAGAGTAGAAGCAACTGTTCATCAAGGCCTGGAGGTACTCTAATCTTGTCTTTATTTTCTGTTGTTTTCACACATTTAGCTTTTGGCACTAGAAAATTTTGGCACTAGAATTGTACTGACTCAGTACAATTCCAGTATTCTCCAACCTTGTACCTGGCAAGTTCCTCATTGACTATGCCATAAAACTCTCAGCCAACCCCAAATGTTCGCAGAAAATTAGGAGCTGGAAAGTCATCCATTGCTGCTGGACACACAAAAGCTACACTTAGCTCTTACTAGCTTGGGGCTGCATTTGAGTGTCTTTAGGAGTGCAAGTTGATGTTTGAACACAGTTTTTCTTTGTTTCTTTGTTTCTTTGATATAGTTCTTACAGGTATGCAATTATTTTGTTAATCTATTATGGAAGGTGAGAGCTAAAAGTTTTGGTGATGCTGTTCTTGGCTGATCTGGTTGTTTGTGTCTCCCTCGCAGGTACATGGGGTTGGGAATGATGCAACAGTGCAAGCCAGAAGTGGTGGGGAGAGAACACTGAATTGGCAATTTAAGAGAATTTACCATGTCAAGCCTTATGATCATGTTCAAGGTTACTTGTCAATGAACTAGAGTTTTATTGTTAGATAGATGAAAGGTTGTGCAAATTGTCATTAAGCTTTGCAGCTTTATCACCATTCTTGGTTGGACATGCTTCATGTAATAACTTTAGGATCATTCTGACTATGGCTGAATATAGACATTAGTAATCTCTCTAAATTTATATTTCGATTTCATTGTGGCTTTGAACATCTTTGAAAACTCTTTTTCTATGTGGTCTAGTGTAACTGGATAATTTTTTATGTGAGGTCCAACCATGCACTCACATTGCTATATATATATATATATATATATATATATATATATATATATATATATATATATATATATATATGTATATTCTCTTTTATTTTGTGTGTCTTTCAACTCTATCCTATTAAAACATTTTTGAAGAGGATCATGAGCTCTCAGGACCTCCTTAGTCATCTTGGAGCTGTTCACAACTACAACCAAGCTTGAGGTGGATTAAGGGTCCCTAACTATTTGCGATGCTTGGAAAGTGACGATGCAGCGGCTCCTGAGAGAAAGAAGTGAACCAAAAACTGGGAGAGGCCTAGGACCTGGTGGAAGAGGATGACGATCAACTTGCAATTTGGTGAAGTACAAGTAGGAGATTATGAAGAGCAGAACAAGAATCAAAATAACAAGCCCTATCTCCAGATTTAATCCCAGAGTAGTCTCAACAAGAGGGATGAGCCACTCCACAGGAAACAAGCCTATGATAGTAAAATTTAAACGATCATAGTTAAATGTTACTCAATCAAGTTTTGTGTCCAGAAGTTTCAAAAGTTAATTGGTTGTTTGCAATATTGCAAACTCATAAGTTTCAAACAGGACAAATGCCTTGTTTCCCAGCATAGAATTCATTCATTCATTCATTGTTTACATGGTCCTGCGGAGTACCCCATGAAGAATTTGAAATGGAACTTCGAGAGCGATGGTAGTCACGTCTTCAGCCACGTCCTTGCCAACCTCAACGTCCCTGTTGTCATCCTGGTTGCTGGCCACAAACATGCCATAATCCACTTTCCTTGTTTATGACCATCTTTGAGTGTTCTTGTTTCTCACAGGCCAAATGTGGTTCATTGTTTCATCAAATGCTGTATACATTCTATTATACAAACGACTACTACAACTTCCATAGCATCCCGTTTGCATCATGATTATTTGAGAACGTTGCTGTGATCCTAGATAAACGTCTTGCTATGTACAGTTTAGTTGAAATATTTCCCATTGTAACAAGACCTGTAGCACGGCTTGAAGCATGTCCTCGGAGCTCGAAAGCGATTAGCTCTCCCGGACCATGAAATGGTTCCAGTCCTCTTGTACGAGCTGCAAATCCACGAGCTTGGAGCGGAGGCCCTGGCCGCAGTTGGCATGCATGGTGCAAACTCTTTCCATGTCGCTGGCTGGCCCACAAAACCACCGAAAACATCCGTTGGCATGAACTGATCTTGGCTCCTATGGCCTGGGTGGAGTTTGATCCTGTCGAAGACTAACCTCAGTTCTTGAAGAGCTCGATCGTCCGGTTATTTCATCAATCCCGGTAGTTGCGAATATCCTTGTCGTTGTCATTGAAAAAGTAGCAGGCCAGCTCCACGTAGAGAGAATTGATGTTTGAACTTAATGCCAGAAAACAAAGAAAGGATTCCAAATGTTAAAGGTGGAAGTTTTACCGTGACGAATCTCTAAAAGAACGCTCAGAAACGATATCTTCTTCCTCAATATTTTCAAGTAGTCTCAGGTCATGGTCCTGAGGAGGATGAGCTTCTAGTCATCTCTTGTGCGCAGATGGATCCAACATGAAGATCGTATCGTCACCGTCTTGGCTGAAGGTCATAATACATACGTACCGTGGATTGGGATCACTGACCGGATCATATTGTGGACTTCTCTTGTGGTCGTAAGCGTGAGAGGGCCGATGGTTCGACATCTGGCTCTGCGCATATACGAGAACGGTGGTTGTAGTTAATCGGCCTTGGCCCAGGACCACTTGATCATGACCTTCATGGAACGTGTGCTCGTATGGCCCAGGGGAGATCCGGAAACTGGTGTAGCCATACGTCGTATCCTCCTGCAAGGATGTTAATTCCAAAAATGTGGCTGGATGTTCTTGTTCTTCTGCTTCTAATCATCGCCTCCTCATTCTTCGGAAAATCGCAAGCTCAACACAGATAGGAAGGTACCACCAGAACCAAAGGAATATTGGTGCCAGTGGCTCCGGAAAACGATTGTCATTCAAGTCAAAGACTGGATATGTTTGGATCAGCGCACTGATATATAATAGTCCGGCAGTTGAATTCCTCATTCATACAGAGATTTGCAGCTCAACCGGGGACTTGCGACAGCTGTTAGCTCTGAAGCCAGCTTGCTTGCGATTGTACCACCCTTCTCCATCAGGTCGACCGAGTTTTGATCCGGTGGAAGGCTCCAATCAAAGGCATGAATCAGGCTTGCAACTGCAAAGGGGATGAAACGAACAGCAACTGGATGCCCCGGGCACATCCTGCGTCCAGCAGAAAATGGGATCATCTCCAGCTGCGCTTCTTGTCCGACCACCTTGATCTCGGTTCCTTGAAAGCGTTCAGGACGGAAGTCTTCTGGGTCAAGCCAGTGTTTTGGATCTCGTCCAATTGCCCAGATGTTGATGAGCACAGTGGACTCTTTCGGGATCCTGTAGCCAGCTAGAACAGCTTCCTTGGGATTAAAATGAGGGACTCCAAGTGGGCCTGTTGGATGAAGTCGCAACACCTCTTTCAGGATTGCGTGCATGTAAGGCAAGCCGGGGACATCTGAAGGCCTTAGGAGGCGCTCGGTCCCGATTGCCTCTTGGATTTCTTCCTGCGCTTTTTGCATGACAGGGGGGTTCTGAATCACTTCTGCCATCGCCCACTCTACAGCTCCCTTCATGTCGTCAATTCCCGCTACAACCAGGTCCTGAAACAAACATCCGACATAGCCCTGATTAGAAAACTGTCCATGGAGAACTTTGCGGATACTTAACAGTGACGAGGGCCATAATTGATATATCTGAGAGATTATTATCAGCAGCGTCTTGCAGAGACAGAAGCACATCCGTCCAGTCCTTGGGAATGAATTTCTTGCCCGAGGATTCAATGTTGAGTTTGCACTGTTTGTGTTCTTGGATAATACCAGCAAAGAGAGACTCCAACTTTGGCATCAGATCATCCCTCATTCTCCGGTTCACTCCATGGAGATCAAGACAATCAAGTGGCGGTATGAACTTCCCGACATTGATGCTCAGGGTTTGCTTCTCAATCAGGCTGATCAAATCCAC